TATAGTCAGAAATTTTAGTTAAAAAATGTAACTTGTTTTGCTACAATCTCTATTAATTTTTAATAATTGTTTAATACATTTGATTGATCATTGTAGTTAAAAAAAAACTTGTTTTGCTACAATCTCTATTAATTTTTAATAATTGTTTTATACATTTAATTTTTATGAATATATAATTAAAATTATGAATAATAGATAAAATGAGTATATTCTACTTTATTTTTACTTATGATCTACTAAATTGTAAACAATCTCTTCTTCAATCTCAAACAAGTTATTGCTTTTTTTAAAGTATTATTTCACTATAAATACCAAAATCTATTCGAGATTTGTTATCACTTAATTACTGAGTAGTACAAGAAAATGTTCACTAAATTCTTAATCGTTACTCTTGCAGTCTACATTGTAGCTGCTGATGAAGTGGGAATCCTCCATCAAGAATCTGAATTCAATCAAGATGGTTCTTACAAATTCAGCTATGAAAGCCAAGATGGAACCAAAGTTTCAGAAGTTGGATCAGTAAAAAATGTGAATAACGTAGATGTTCATGTAGCTGAAGGATCGTATTCCTACCATGGTGATGATGGCAAAGATGTTGTAGTTCAATACGTCGCCGATGAAAATGGATACCGTCCACAAGGAGACAATATTCCTGCATCCATCCTGAAGAACTTGGAGGTTTTAGCAACTGCTAAACCGGCAAAAGAAAATTAATGAATTTATGAAATGTTTTATATTTGAAGATATAATAAAGATGCATATTTGAAAAATAATTATAATATTGTTTATTTTCTGTATAATTTTAAGTTCTTATTGATTTAGTGGTTGTATCAGATAGTATGAAATAATATATAAATTGATGAAATAAAATCAATAGTTTATCAATGTAATTAAGGTTAGTCTATCAACTTTCCATATATTTTTTTATTAACATTTCATCAAAATATATTATACTATTAAATTAGAATGTATTGTTTATATAGAAAATACAGAAATAAAAGCGTATTGACTTCAATATTTATACCTTTATTGCTGTTTTCAATTAATTAATGAAAGTGATTTATAAACTTTGAATTAAAAAAAATACATTGTATTATATAAATTACATTTAATAAGTTTTGAAATATATAAAATCTATAAAAAATGATGTTATATTTATAGTTATATTTACTATTATTATTAAATATTTTTTGTTGATCAAAATTATATTAATTTGCTTATGTATATATTACATACATTAGATAATTATACCATTTTTAAATAATATATATTATAAATATTAAGGAGTAAATGTTGGTTTTAATATAAAATATAAATAATTGAGGTTTTCATAATAAAATAATCAGTAATTATTATTCAAAATTTAGTATTTATTTAATCGTGTAACATGTAAATTGTAAAGAAAATTAGTTTTCCTTAGGTGGTTTTGCGGTGGCCAAAACTTCCAAATGTTTCAGGATGGATGCTGGGATATTGTCTCCTTGTGGACGATATCCATTTTCATCGGCGACGTATTGGACTACAACATCTTTACCATCATCACCATGGTAGGAATACGAGCCTTCAGCTACATGAACATCTACGTTATTCACATTTTTGACTGATCCAACTTCTGAGACTTTAGTTCCATCTTCGCTCTCAAAGTTGTATTTGTAAGAACCGTCTTGGTTGAATTCTGATTCTTGATGGAGAATTCCCACTTCTTCAGCAGCTATAACGTAGACTGCAATCGCAACAATTAAGATTTTAGTGAACATTTTGTTAATTGAGACAGTTAACGACTGATGCTGAATGCAAACAGAAACGTAATATTTATAGTCAGGAATTGAAGTAAAAAAGTAACTTGTTTTGTTACAATCTCTACTAAATTATATTAATTTGCTTATGTATATATTACATACATTAAATAATTATACCATTTTTAAATACTATATATTATAAATATTAAGGAGTAAATGTTGGTTTTAATATAAAATATAAATAATCGAGGTTTTCATAATAAAATAATCAGTAATTATTATTCAAAATTTAGCATTTATTTAATCGTGTAACATGTAAATTGTAAAGAAAATTAGTTGTCCTTAGGTGGTTTTGCGGTGGCCAAAACTTCCAAATGCTTCAGGATGGATGCTGGGATATTGTCTCCTTGTGGACGATATCCATTTTCATCGGCGACGTATTGGACTACAACATCTTTACCATCATCACCATGGTAGGAATACGAGCCTTCAGCTACATGAACATCTACGTTATTCACATTTTTGACTGATCCAACTTCTGAAACTTTAGTTCCATCTTCGCTCTCAAAGTTGTATTTGTAAGAACCGTCTTGGTTGAATTCAGATTCTTGATGGAGAATTCCAACTTCTTCAGCAGCTACAACGTAGACTGCAATAGCAACAATTAAGAATTTAGTGAACATTTTGTTAATTGAGACAGTTAACGACTGATGCTGAATGCAAACAGAAACGTAATATTTATACTCAGGAATTGAAGTAAAAAAGTAACTTGTTTTGTTACAATCTCTACTACTTTTTAATTATCGTTTTATATATTTTTTTTCTAAACAGTTAAAGTATATAAAATCATAAATTTATAATTAATTACTTCTTGAAGTTCGTATTATTAATTTTGTAAGTTAAAAATATACAAAAAAGATAATTCATTCATAATTTTTAAATGCAATTTTTTAATAATTATAAAAAAAAACTCAATTTAATTTGTTTATGAAACAGAAACAAGTTATATTTTTTTAAGTTTTACTTCTTTCTATATAAATATAAAATTTTCTTTTATATTAGTTAGTGACCAGTTCAACAACAAAATGTTCGTAAAAGCATTAATCGTTGCTGTTTTCATTGTAGCTTCTCAAGAAATTGGAATCCTCCAACAAGAATCTGAATTCAACCAAGAGAGTCCATACAAATTTAGCTATGAAAGCGAAGGTGGAGTTGATGTTGGATCAAGCAGAAGGAATGTTGATAACAAAGATCTGCATGTAGCTGAAGGCTCTATTTTTTATGATATTCCATACGCACCTAATGAAAATGGAAATCCACTTGGTGAAAATGTTCCTTCATCTATTTTGAAGAATTTAGATGAATTAGCCACAGCTAAACCAGCATATGAAAGTTAAATAATTTATAAAATATATAATAAAATAATAATATATCAAAATGAATTGTTATCTTATTTCATTTCTAATCCAAACTTTTTCATTATAGCTAAATTAGATAATCGAATTTTCTAATTAAATAGTTATCAAAAGTTTACTGGTTTCATTAACAATATTAAATAATTTAGATTAGTAGATATTAAAAAAATATATACACTTTTACACAATTATCTAAGAAATTCATATTTTTACTTTGTAAAGAAGAAAATTTTGTTATAAAATATAAATTGAAGGATAAAATATTAAATAATTATTTTTTTCTTGTTAACTCGAAGTATTACTTATAAAAGTTTATTTTGTTCATTTTTTTTTTGGTTTAAGTATGAAATATAAAATTGTCAGTAATTATGGCTGTAAATTGAATATTTATTAATTATTGATATATTACAAACAAAATTAATTATTCTTTTGGTGGTTCTAGGAAGGATGATGGAATGTTATCTCCCTGTGGACGATGGCCATTTTCATCAGCGACGTTTTGAACAACATCTTTGCCAGCATCGCCATGGTAAGTGTCTTCAGCTACATGAACATCTTTGTTATTCACATTTTCCTCTGAACCAACTTCAGAGACTTTAGTTCCATCTTCGCTCTTTTCAGGTTCTTGATGGAGAATTCCTAAAACTTCTGCAGTTACAAAATAAACTGCAACAGCAACGATTAAAAGTTTCTTGAACATTTTGTTAATTGATATAGTTGTTGACTGATGATGAATTCAAGAAGACATGTAATATTTATAGTCAATATTTGCAGTCAAAAAAGCAACTTGCTCAATCACTATCTCTGCTACTTTTTAATAATAATTTTATTCGTTTTACAATTTTTATTAATAAATAAAGTATCTAAAGTTGTTTGTACAAGTAAACATCATACAAAAACGCAATAATGTGTTATAAGATTCAAAAGTATCATAACAATTGAATTTATTTGTTATTCGAATTATGATTAGTTCAATTCTAAACAATCTCTGATTCTGATTTCACTATAAATATCCAAGTCAGTTTTCGATTAGATATCAGTCAGTCACTGAGTTGTAAAGCATCATGTTCAGAAAATTTGTAATCTTTGCTATGGTAGTTTACTTTGTAGCTGCCGAAGAAGTGGGAATCCTCCATCAAGAATCGGAATTCAATCAAGATGGTTCTTACAAATTCAGTTACGAAAGCCAAGATGGAACCAAAGTTTCTGAAGTTGGATCAGTCAAAAATGTGAATAACAAAGATGTTCATGTAGCTGAAGGATCGTATTCTTACATTGGTGATGATGGCAAAGATGTTGTGGTTCAATACGTTGCCGATGAAAATGGATACCGTCCACAAGGAGACAATATTCCCGCATCCATCCTGAAGAACTTGGAGGGTTTAGCAACTGCTCAACCAGAAAAACAAGATTAAATTATTTGTGAAATGTTTTATGTTTAAAAATATAATAGAGATGGATATTTGAAAAATAATTATTAGATTAATATTGATTTTAAAGTTATATCAATATAAAAAATAATGAAATTAAATGTTTTATCTATATAAGTAGCTTTAATAGCTGAATGGTTAAGTCTCCCTACCTACGATCGAACTGGCGACGGTTCTAATCCAGTCCCTTTGTGAGCCCTTTCGGTGCTTGCAGCAATAGGGCCATCGTTCATCACAGATGGACTGTCAAATGAATGAGGTTAAAGATATGGACCTTCAGACAAGTCGATGGACAATGACAATGTTAAGGATAGCAGCAGATTTACAGTCAAATGAATTAGTGGAATCGCAGAGCATCAATATACTACTATTACAAGACGTCAGCCAACCAACAAATTAAAATCAAATCATCATAATGGTAACTATCCACCGGCAAAGATTATGCATTTAATATCAACCGCGATCTTAAATTTACTCAATGTTCACATTGATGAACAGATTGTGAAGAAAATTGTTCTATATAAAAAAAATATAATGAGCTCACATCAACAATTTATTGTCAAAACTTATTACATAATTACTAAATATATTAGTAAAGTCAAATACATTGTTTAAATATGAAATACAAATGCTAATTGTAGTCAATATATTATATGCACTATGTAATATTGTAAATGCTGTTTTTAACTTTTAAATAAAATATAAAAGTAAATATAAAAGTAGAATTAAAACGCAAAATGTATTAATTAGAAACATTTCTTATTGTTGTATATATTTATATAACTATGAGCATTTGTTGAAAGATATAATTATATTTTGTGCAGGAATAATGTTGTTTTTAGATAAAATATAAACCAAAGAAAGACGTTGAAGTTGAATACTTATATTCTCTCGTTAAATCAAGATATTCATTATAAAAGTTTATTTCCTTCAAGATTTTTTGGGATTAAGCATATAAAATAATCTATATTTATGGTTAAATTTGAGTATTTATTCAAGTCGTATATTCATATATTATAAACAAAATTAATTTTCCTTGGGTGGTTTTGCGGTGGCCAAAACTTCCAAATGCTTCAGGATGGATGCTGGAATATTGTCTCCTTGTGGACGATAACCGTTTTCATCAGCGACGTATTGAACCACAACATCTTTACCATCGTCACCATGGTACGAATACGAGCCTTCAGCTACATGAACATCTACGTTATTCACATTTTTGACTGATCCAACTTCTGAAACTTTAGTTCCATCTTCGCTCTCAAAGTTGTATTTGTAAGAACCGTCTTGGTTGAATTCAGATTCTTGATGAATAATTCCAACTTCTTCAGCAGCTACAAAGTAAACTGCAACAGCAACAATTAAGAATTTAGTGAACATTTTGTTAATTCAACCAGTGGATGACTGATGTTAAATGCAAGATGATGCACAATATTTATAGTCTGGAGTTTAAATTAAAAAGAAAACTTGTTTCATTACAATCTCCTATTATTAATAACATTTTTTTCTGTTGCATTCATTTTATGAACAGGTAAAAACATAAAGTTTTCTTTTTAATAGAGTGACATTTTATATTATTCTCTATTATCAAAAGTTGGTAATGATCAAATTAATATTTAAATTAATTGCATTTTTTTAGAATATTTTGACTCATTGCAATTGAACAAAAACAAGATTTTACTTCAATTATATTAATTTATAACATAAATATAAAACATTGACCAAAGGGGGTTTTTATTATAAGAATACATTAAATAATATTATTATTTATTGTTACATACATCGATGACAAATTTATATACAAAAAGAGTACATTTTTCAACTATCACTTCATAAAATTTTATTAAATAATTGTCTAATACAAAAAACTGGATTTGGAGAATAACAAGTTATTTTTATTAAACTTGTCGCAACTATAAATATGAATTAAATGTAAGTTTTCGGTATCAGTTATCCACTGACTAAACAAACAACATGCACGCAAAACTTTTCATCGTGATTATTGCAGTTTATGCAGTTACTGCTAACGAAGTTGGAATCTTGCATCAAGAAGCCGAAATCAATCAAGATGGTTCTTACAAATTCAATTACGAAAGCGAAGATGGAACTAAAGTATCTCAAACTGGTTCTTTGAAGAACGTGAACAACAAAGATGTTCAAGTAGCTGAAGGCTCGTATTCCTATCATGGTGATGATGGCAAAGATGTCGTTGTTCAATACATCGCCGACGAAAATGGATACCGTCCAATTGGAGACAATATTCCTGCATCGATTGTAAAGAATTTGGAAGTTTTGGCTACCGCTAAACCACCAAAAGATAATTAAATGTATTTTTATTGTATATGAATAAAGAACGCACATTGAACATTATTTTTATTGTCTCTTCATTTTAAATACATTTTGTCTCCTAATTTAAAATTATCATTTATCTGATATTGATTTTTTATATTTAATTTTTATATGTATAAGAAATAATTATATAACTTCTTTTTAAAATGTCATTTGTTATTTTGATTGTAGTATTTCCAATAAGAATTAACAATTATTAAATATTATTGTAGTTCTTTTACTCAATTTTATTGGAATTTGGAGTTAATTTATGAAATAATCTTATCACAATTATAAACTTTATTTTTTTTCCTGTTTAGAACACTTAGATTATATTATATTTAAATTTTCGGAACACAAATTATTTACACTTATACATGACTTAATGAATAGAGGCATTTAGGGGTACATTTATTTAGAATAAAGCCATGCTTTAGGCTGTGGAAGGTTCACTGATTTTTGGTAGTAAATCCAATGTCCTTTGGATAGCTTCCGGGATTGGTGGAGGAGTTGGCAAATGATCACCGACGGGTTGGAATCCATTTTCATCAGCAACGAAGCTACAATAAGATACAAAATTTGAAATAATTATCACTTGATGTATGATCATTTACCTTAAGTTGATCGGGGTGCCATCTGGGGCTTGGTATGAATAGGAGCCAGTGATTACTTGTACAACCTTATCAACTACATCGTCTCCAATTCTCGTTGCAGGAATGACCTTGTTGTATCCAGTTTGATCAACGCGAATTCCATTTTCGCTCTCGAAACTAAAATCGTGTATAATTAGTTTAAATCTATCATATTATTTTTTATACTTTACTTAAAATTGAAGGTGCCATCTTCTCCAATTGCTTCAGAATGCGAAAGAATTGCAATTGGTGTGGTGTTACTTTGTGGTTGGTTTAGTGGTACTCCCTGTGGTCTTGCAAAGGCGGAAGCCACCAAAGCGCACGCAATCTGCAAAACAATTTGGATTTTCTCTCTTCAACATTTGTTTGAACAATTAGGTTTATTTACTTACGATATTGAATAACATTTTTTTAGAATTGATCATCAAACAATTTTAGTGCAGTTTTCCGTGACGACTGATGGGCTCGAGGCGATTGTTCACTCTTTATATACGAATTGACTGTTTGCCCAATGTGCTCCAAAGAAGTGCTAACAAAATCAACCTCAATCTTATCCATCCGCTTTGAATATTCTGTGCGCATACAAATTGCCAAATGTTTGCATAATTATTGCATCTGCGGCCATGAATTTTTGAGATGACCACTGTATTCAAATAGTATTCACACCTTCATCTTCACGAAACTTCCTTTTTCCTACATCACACTTTACTCTTTATTTAGAACCATTTCATCTCAGAAAATGATTACGTATTATAAAATCGTACTAAATAAAATGTTTCATATCAAATCTATCTAATTTGTTCATTTTTTCAAATACATCGAAAATCTTCTGTGTAGTTTGTTAATTAATTTATAGTAAAAACTAAAATATTATATAAATACTAAAAATTTACTTATTTATTTCATTTATACTAAAATGTATGTTCCTGTATAAATCAAGAATAATAAGTATCCTATTACAACAATGTTTACCTTTGACATATACACAAATCTTACTTAGCAAACATAATGAGACTTTTGGTAATGTACATATCTGACTGAAATGCCGAACAACAAAATTAATTATTTATTAGGTAATTATGTTATTACATGCTGAGTATATGTTGAATTTGAAAGCGGTGGCATCAATGCTGCATAGCAATGAAAAATTTAGTATGGTCTTTTTTTGTATTGCGTCTCGAGTAAATAAATTTAAAAAAAAAACAGAAGCCTTCAAGTGATGTCTTCTGTATGTGCATTAAACAATTGCTTATTTATAGAGTCGAATTTATGTATAAATACTGTCTTGCAATGGTCATCAAGCATCAGTTTCAAACAAACCGTGAAAATGTTAGCAGTCAAAGTGTTCTTCCTAGTTGGTGTTTTGGGGTGTGCTTTGGCCGAGAAAGAGGAGATCCCGATCATCTCGCAAGAATCCGTTCTTGAGCCGGACGGTTCTTATCGCCATAGCTACGAAACTGGAGACGGAATCAAAGCTGAAGTCATCGGGGAACTGAAAACCATTGGAGATGAAACCGTGGCCGTGGCTCATGGTAGCTACAGTTATCCAGCTGAGGATGGAAAAACGTATCAAGTTAGTTACGTAGCCGACGAGAATGGATACCAACCAATTGGGGATCATTTGCCAGTGGCTCCGGAAATTCCTGCCATCATCAAGAAGTCTTTGGATTACTTGGCCACTGCTCCACCACCAAAGGAATAATTAAAGTTATTTTTTAATGTGCATTTTGTATACATGCAAATCTTTGTATTTTCACTAAAAACTTGAATTAATATCATTTGAATCATTATATAACTTTCTTTTACAAAAAAAATGTTTAGTAAGATTACCGCTCCACCAACGTAATTTGTGGTTATTATATAATGTACGATTTGTATACATGTAAATCTATATATTTTCAATAAATATTTGAATTAATATGTAATAAATCTTAGGAATCAATATACCTTTTCTATATACTTATGAAGAAGGTTTTAGTAGCCTTGGAAATTAGGACACATTAGACAAATTTTTAACAAATCGATTGGTAAGTATAGCATAGTAAGTAAACTTAAAAAAAATGATGAATTATTGTGTTAATAAAAATTATGATAAAATTACAATAACGATAATTTCGGATAGGTAGAAGGTATAAATAGGTCTGTAAAATGAAATGTTTAAATAAATTCATTGAGTTTCTGGAATTTACGTTGTTAATAGCATTTGGGTTTTGTATATTATATAACATAACGGCCGTTTGTTGACTCACATTGAATGCAATGGGAAAATAAAAAATAAAATACCCGCGGCATCTTTCGTATGTAGGTTGTAGGCCTATGTAATATGTTGACAGAAAAGTTAACATCTAAACAGTGAAAGTGCTCATCTCAGTTGTGTTGAATAACAGTAGGTAGTAGTACTCCTATCCGATAAGTATTACTGCATCGCTCGTTCTAGGCCTCTCTTCCTACATCATTCAATTTAGCTTTGTATACCAAATTTAATAGAAGAAAAGGAAAGTCATTTATCTATTCGAATCAATATTTATCTACAATTCCATCTATTTAACATCAACAAAAAATAGTTATAATCTTTAATATTTGGTCTCTAAGAATTATGATTTTGTGAGGACAGTAATATAAATAAAATCTTTGATTTTTTACATTTTACTTGAATGTTTAATGTGAAAGTATAGAAGATGCTGCCATCTTTAGAATCGCTGCTCAATATATAACTTGAGTCGATTGCCATTAGATGTCGTACACTTAATCATATAATAATTTTTTAAAATATTACATAAATTATTTTTTTAGCGACCTATCAAAATTACTAAGAAAAAACATCAGAAATAAGACCGTAAGGATAATGAAAAATTAGAATTAAAATGATATTGTTATAAATATTTTCTTAAGTAAAGTAGAGTAAAAAAGAATACCAAATGGAATTATATTGAGAATATAAATGAAATAAATATAAACGCAAATTTAACATTCAATACAAGTTCAGTGCAAAGAATGTTCGGAATAAATAATAACGTCGGCTTTTTTCATGAACTCGGACGTGACTTTGAGAATATTGAAGTTCAAAGAAAAATAAATATGTTGCAAATTTAAAAACAAATTTATTTATTTGATTCTGGAAATTAACAAAGATTTAGAAAATCTAAGACACATTTATTTAGCTAAGTCATTTTATTTAAGCTTAAATATATTTTGTAATATATTTTTTGTTATTAATTTAAAATTAATATTATATTAATAATATTTACTAAAAATGATAGTAATGAGTATAATCATAATATAAAAGAAACAAAGGATTGAGAAGATCTAAGCCATTTGAAAATGAATTTTATTAAAGTACATGCAAGTTCTTATGCAATCGTTGTGTATACAATATAATTATGCAAATTCTATAATTTGTGTATCGAACGTTTTTTTTTTCCTCATTAAAAGTTTGAAAACGTAGTTGTGTATAGATTTAATTTGTATACACAGCTTATATACTTACATTGAATAATTATATGCTTGGATAAGTAAGATGTTATTCTTACTATATAAAAAATATGTGTATTTAGATTTTTTTATATATATATTTATTATTTTTTTCTTAACCCCTGAACCAATTATCATATGTAAATAAAATTAGTTTTTTTGCTAATTTTCATTTCATTAATAATTATTTGAAATTATTAACATGTTAAATATGTCAATTAATAGTGGTTTATTGATTAATATTTTGTTTTCAATTGATAAAAAATAATTAAGTCTAGCATAAGTTTTAATGATTTAAGATTTCAGAATTTACTTTGATTTTTTAGGTTGAGTTTTAAGAGAGTTAATATTGATGATCAATATTTTATTAATGATTATTTTTATTAAGTAGAAGATGTATGAAATGGTTTAAGAATATTTAAGGATTTAATATCAAAACATAAAATGTTGTTGCATTTATTATTTTCATTTCAAAATAATGTTCGATTAAAACGATATACAAAGGAATATAAAATCATGGAAACATATACGTAGCGTTGGTCAAGATCAAACTGGATCACAATCATCAAATAAATACTTGTTAATATATAAAAATATATAAAAAAGGACTGTAATAATATGCGAGGAAACTACGCGAGAATGCTTTATTTCCTTCTACGACCGGCCCTTTCCGTTGTGGATGGCTGCGAAGCGATCCAATCCAAAGCCTTCTGGATGTTTGGCGGAATTGGAGGTGAGGTCGGAAGATGCGCACCCTGCGGTTGGAAGCCACCCTCATCGTCGGCGGTGTACGTCAAAGAGATCTGGTTGCCTTCCGGATCGGTATAGGAGTACGATCCCTGCGCAATGATTACTTCCGGATTCTCCGCATCGTTCGTCTTCTTCACCGAACCGGTTTCTTGAGCTTTTATGCTGTTAGCACTTTCATAACTAAAATTTCCAAAAAAAAAAAACGCATTACTTTACGATCTTCTTTGCAGGAAAATAAATCTTACCTCCAATCGTAAGAACCGTCAGGTTGAATTTCATTAGTCTGACTAACGATCTTTATGGGTTCTTGAGGCGCAGCGTTCAACGTTACGACTAACCCCAATATGAGGCTACAGCACTACAAAAAAAAGCAATCAGAAACACACTCACAATTGATTACGCTTTGCGAAATAATTAATAATAATGTGTTTATTAAATTGAATTGTATGCACAATGTGCACTTATGAAACAGTTAAGAGAGATCGTGTTTGAAATGTTACCGAAGCTAATTAAGGCGATATTTCATCTCGCTTCTAATTATGTATAATGAATGTTTGTTTAAGAAGCAATTGTTGTCGAATTTGAATATGCTAATACTAATTGCATTGATAACAATAAACAGCTTCGATACTTGTTTTCAAAATTGCATCATTTTTTTTTGTTACTTACTTGTTGCAACGACACAATGAAATGAAGTTACTACTCCAAGGCTACATTACGAATTCCTATTATTTTCCGGTAATCAGAGCACGAAAGTGACAAATTTTACATTGCAAATGAACACTTCCACCCGTCTCTTGTTCATCACTCATGTGCAAGGTTGCACTGTAATTAATGTAATCCGTAGTTGTTTATTACCAGAAGATGCTGAGTTAATGTTCATTATATGACTTTGAGCTTTTTTATATGCTCATTATTTATAAATTATATCGATACATCCTCTTTTAATTATCAATAAATTCACGATGTTATTAGTTAATTAAATACGATATTTATTTTATTTAAAAACAAGATAGTTTTGAAGCCGTATATTGCTTTTCATGTGAGTGTAAGATGTTAATTTAATGTTTATTATTAATTACCAAATAGGCCAGAAAACCCAATTGCAAAGTAATTTTCAATATATTGAGAAATGTTTATAATAAAATACAACTGTTTATGGAACCAATTATATTTGAATCAAGCATATTTGCAATAAAATAAATATTTAATTTGTATTACAAATTTTATAAACTTTTTTTGACCAGAACAAGTATTTATATGATTTTTGATTTAATACACTACATTAATTTATTTAATATATATTGGCAAAAGATAAGTACATTTTTATGAATATGTTGAGATAAACTATGATATTAAGTTATATAATACTTTCAATCTAGTAAGAATGGTTAGCTTCCAAATATATGATTTTATTAGAATCTGTTCTCAAATAATAAATAGCAAATTTTATATCTTACATTTTTTTTGAGATAAATTATTTCAACTGAATCTTTAAAATGTAATTCTTATTGCATACTAACAATTTTTAAATGTGAGTAAATATTTTAGTTTATAAAAAAAAAACACTATTTTATATATAGTTTCCCAATATATTATTACAGTTAGATAAATATAGAAGTCTAAAAATTAATATGATTGTGTTATTTCAATACATTTTTTTAATATATTTTTTTTTCTTAATGAGTAAAACAAACTTTTTGGTAAAATCACATGTTTTATGCTCGAATATAAATTCAATATTGGAGTGAAATAATTGATATATATTAAATTTGTGAAAAACATGTTCTTATTGAAATACACAAATATTTTTATATGCATTTATATATTTGTAGCAATAAATTCAATTTAAACAATTATTATTAATTTATTATCGGATTTGTTAATTTTTTTACAAAATTATTGTATATTATTATATGTTTTTTTATAAAATATGCTTAGTTTTGAAATCAACTACAAACAGCCATGCATTGTATTTAAAAGTTATACAACATCATTCGATTTAATTTAGTTATAGTTTTGAAATAAAAAAAATTATCTAAAAATAAAATATATATTGAAATCAGAAATGCGATGTTAAGAAAACAAATGTGTTTATAAAAACGTTGATATTATCATTATATTTTGTTGATCAGTTTTAGAATGAAAAAGATTGTATAGTTAATTTGATTACAGAAATTATTTAGTTTTGGATTGTTTTACTTGAAAAGTAATTGAAATGTATGTTGTTATGTGTGTATATAATAATGGTAAATGTATAAAAGTATTGAAAGTTAAATGTAAGCGGTAATATGTGTATTTAATAATAAATGTATAAAAGTATAGATGTGGACTTACCAGTAACCAGGCCATGATAATGTCTGGCTATAGAAAACAGTAACTACAAACTAAAATATCAGACATATGCCCCGTTCGCAATTCGCACCCGTATTTATATAGAGACATACAAAGTGTAATCATTCTTTTTCCCCCATACACACAATTGATGCCGAAGATGTTTATTACAACACATGGGAATGGCATCATGCACGTCCTACCAATGCATTCTTCCGGCCTTTTCCCATCTTCCCCATCACCAGCATTTCATCTGGACGACAACGTTCAAACTATACGCAGCCCGCGTTAACTTCTGTTAATTACCATTTTTACTCGCACTTCTCGAAAATAAAATCAAAAAAAAGAAGGAAAAATCAAATAAATAAAAGCCAATGCATTTCCCCCCCTAAAAGACGCATACCTTTACCACCGGTCGACACCCTCGCAGCCAGTCAGTAGGCGTTTAGAATGCAACGGTGAAGCAATTCCAGATTGATGGACCTAACATCCGTATAAATTCAACTTTATATGGATTGCAGGATGCTTTAGCCAGTATAAGAGGATCGACAAGGTTTTCTCGTCTAATTTATTTGTTTATTATTCTCTCGCATACTTTAATAACCTTTTATTACGATACAATGCGACTTACGCAATCGCATCTTTGAACCTCGACGACAATTTGGTAATAATCATTGAATTTCGCAAATCGGGAACCCTGCTGAAATGATGATTATTATTATATTTGCATGCATAATTGCGATTATTCGGAATGCATTCGTAATTGGGATTTTGTAAGGGAAATAATAAGGTTCGCTTTTATCATCATATCATATCTCTCCAATCCATCGATAGATTTACTAGCAGTCACGTTTGCATTCGAAATGCCAATGCTAAAGCCTCTTCTGATTCCAACAAAGAAGATTCATCTCCGAGTTAATCTTCTGTTTGCTCTATTCAACAATCTGATGCCATTAAAGACACACGCAAACAAAGAAAAGAAAAAACTTTAAAAATAAGTTTTGATAACTCGTATCAAATTTCGCAAATACGCGAGAAAACGTAAATTGCGTAATCACTATTATTATTATGAGCTGCATGTTTGGTAATAAGCGTCCTAGTAAGGTGTGGTCCTAAGCGCCGTCTACATTTTTTTTTGTATAAAATGCTAAAAGCAATTTGTCATTAAATCGTTTTGTGCAAACGCTTTGACCATCGTGTGATGGTAATGATAATAATTCGTCCCTTTCGAATGTCCGCATAATTGCCTTGTAAATTATCTTCGAAACGTGACGGGATGCTCCGGTGCATCTACATCTTACTTTAACATAGGATCGTGCTGCGAGGCTGTGTTAAATTGTCACATTCATTACTTAATATCTCTTCGTTTTATGGTGCTTTCGTTTATCTGTACAAGAAACGGTCGCTCGTCGACAAATGAAATTAAAATCTGCAATCTTAAACAACGAAGTCTCGGGAAGTTCAACGCGTTAAATGCGAAAGCGCTACTTAAATTGTGGGCGGAATTCATTAGGATAATAAGGTGATTTCCATCAGCGCAATTGCCGATGCGATCATTCAATTGGAAAATAATATACACAGTTTACAATGGAAGCAATAAATTCACGACTTATTAATTTACACATCATTTATCATTTAACATCTAATTATTATACAAAAATAATCGAATTCATAAAATTAAAAAAAAATGTTAATTTTAAATGAAAGTTTATGATTACCTAAAAGATACATCAAAAGAAATTTGGATATTTAATTATTTCAAGTGCATTTAAAATCTAAAAAAATAGTCTTTTGTAATTGTTCATTTAATTTTGTTTATTATTATTATAAAAAATAGCGAATTATAAATTAAAACTAATGAAGCGTTGTCTTACAAAAAAAATTGAAGGGCATCAATCAAGGGACATTAGTTATTGGAAAAGGGTATATTTGGGATGGATATTTGGATTTTGTGGAATTTATAGAGGGAGCCAATATTGGTTATTTCAAGGGGTATAACTATTTTGGTATTGGAGTAAAAGAGATCATTAGGAGGATTGTGTAGAGCAGATTTTCTGAAACTTTGTTAATAGTTGTTCCATGAAAATTTTAGGATTTAAAAAGTATTCAGTTGCAGGGAATACTTGGTGTATAATATTCCTGTACACCAAGTATTCCCTAACTTCTCCTACAACGGATGTCGTATTTTGGAGAGTATACAAAGGGTAGAATGTTCGAATGCGGAAAGGTTTTTTAGGACGGGATTTCGATTTATATATTTATGTTTTACATGGATGGATATTTCTGAACTACGGTAGGTCAGTGAACAGAAATATGGATTTTATTTTGACTTGAGTTGTTTGCAATGAGAATTGAGGTTGAGTTTTGAATCAAAAAGGATTCCTAGATATTTTACAAGTGATTATGATTATTTCAAATCAATTACTAAAAAAAACTAGCTATTTATAAACTTAAGTCATTATGGAAATATTTAATGAACAAGTTGATGAAATGTCTATTTTTATATTACTTTCTTGATGTTTAGAAACAGAAGGGAATGGAAATCTTTTAATTATTTCTAATATATTATTAAAATGTTGTAGCTGCTATCCACTGAATTATTTATCAATAGAAAGGATACGTTCACGTACATTGAAAATCAATAATAACTTATAGGAAATTAACATTAAATCAGTAAATTGAAGATTGGGTGAGGCTATTATAAATGAGATGTAACATTATTTTTGTATATTTGTGACACTAAAACAGTTAAAATACATAAATAAATATTTAACTGTTAGGCCATAGGTATTTCCATCCAAAATATACTATAAGACGGGAAATCTCTAGTTTTTTACATAGCGTCTTATAGACCTAAAATACTGTAATTAACAAATAATTGAACAGTGGAACTTCGTTTTTTGAAAATCCAAATTGTTCAAATACCAAACCAATTTTTCCATGAGAATTAATGTAAAAATGATAAAATTCTTATTTATTTATTTATTAATATTGAATTAAGTTATTTACTACATGATATTATGTCTTTTTAATTGAAGTTTTGTAGAAAATAATACTTAATTTATATAATCATAATTTTGTTCTTGCATTTTAGTTAGTTGATATGGAAAATCAAATTCAAACGCTACTTAAATCCTTATATGGGCAAGAAAATAGTGCGTTTTGTTTCAAAATTTATAAAAAACAAAAAAAGGCAATATATTGGAACCTCGCTTAATAAGCACTTCGCTTAACGAGCACAATGAATTATAAGAAAAATGACTCGCTTAGCGAGCGAGGTTTCATATAGAAGTGACGATGAGAAGAGAAGTCCAGTATTGCGCGCCCACTACATCATTTTTAAAGCTTGTGTACACATATTATGTGTATTTTTGAATATGTATTTCACTATACGAGTAAAAATCCGAAAATTTTGTAACGGACTAAACTCGTTAAGCAAAAAAATATAATTATCAAGTAATAAAATTAAGTTAAAAGCCTACTTATTTGTATATTTATTAATTGCCGATTTAGTTTTTAGAGGATTTAATTTATTTTGGATTTATGTTTGAGAATCAACTCATTCGAGAACTGAAGTTATACTGTACATAAATTAGTTTATAAAATTGTTTAAAAAAATATAAAAGACAGTTTATTTCCTCAGGCATATACATAATATATGATGTACACAAACACTACATACTTATATGGGTTTTCCAAGTATAAATCACTCCGAAACATAGTTATTCTAATGCGCAATTAGTTAGTTGACTGAATGCAATGTTAAAAAAATATTAAAATTGCATAATTTATACTTAAAATTATATGTTTTTTTTAAATACATAAATATTTCTTGAAAATCATTGTTAATTTACAACAGTATTTTGTGTATCTATAATAACAAACTCACCAAATTTTCCATATAATTCATACATAAAACACAAGCTAAAAAAATACTAAATAAAAAAATAGTTAAATTTCAAAATATTTTATGTACATATATTACATATATTTACACACAGCAATTGTAAAATAATATATTTGAGTAGGCTTTCTGCCCTACCTATGGTCAATAGCCCTTTGTAACAGTTGACTTTTTGTGTCATTATCATTGTATGGAAATGTTAAATATGTTTTTTTTTTGTATTGTTGCAATTAATATTATTATTATTTTATCTTTAATTAAAACAGTTAGGTTTTATAGTTATAAAAATACGCTATTAATTAAAAAAGCATCAAATAAATTAAGTACTTAGATAGCGTATATTGTCATGTTTATATTTATCTTGGAATAGTCACAACTGCAATAATTAGTTTGCATAATTCGCTTTGCGAATAAAATATGCTTAGAGACGTATACGAATGTAAGTATGTGCATTTGCATTAATTTACGTGTACAAGAATATGAATATTTTCACTTTTACAATGACCAAATTTCGCAACAAAAATATTTGCAATTGGCGAATATTTTACGTTCAGACGCGTGCTCTATTCCTTAGATACGTTGGCTTTTCACGTTCTTGATTGCGATACAACACAACAAAGATTTTTTTTACACGCTAACGTGAAAATAATACTTTTGTTTTTCTCAATTGTTCTCATCATTTTGTTTGTTTGTGTTATTTATTATACTTGCAGCATTAAACAATAATAGGGATAAAACATAACTTAAATTTATTAATAAAGTAAACAATATTTTTTTATAAGATATAATCAAGTTGGAATATATACAAATATATCAGGACGTTCTAAAAATATATTAATATTTTTAAATTACTCATAAAAATATTGTTTTTTAGTTCTTTCCGTATTGTTTAGCAAAAATTATTCGAATAATTTCAATATAATTTCAAATTGAAATAAATATAATTTTATAATGTAATTAAGTGTCCTTACTTTTGCATAACGAATGACGATGTGAAGAGAAGTACCAGATTGCGCGCCTGCTACATCATTTTTAAGATTTCTGTACACATATTATGTGTATTTTTGAATATGTTTGACTATACGAGTAAAAATCCGGAAATTTTGAAACGGATTAAACTCGTATTTAAAATCTATTCAAGTTGTAATGAAGTAGTACACATAAAAATATGTAAGAATATATTAGACATAAATATCTTCAAATTATTAAAAAAAATCAGTGTCTCTTTCTATTTTCAAATTAAAAAGAATATAAATGTATGACAAAATTACTTATATTCATCTTTAATTCATCTTATATTAATAGGAAAACGACAATTATCTTAATTTTTAGTAAATAAGCTAAAATTCTGCAGCAAATAAATATAAGTGTTTCAGAAAACTAAAAAAATCAATTACATCACACAGCTATGTTATAATTAATGATACATCTTTTATTTTAACGTTAACTAATTACAAAACGTATCATCTGCATATGTTATAATTAAGTTAAATAATATTTCAGAGATATTTTTGATTTTATAATAACTCAAAATTATATGATATATAAAAAATATATAAGTAAATGTAGTAAATTTAGTAATAATATAGTAATTATTGATTTAAAATTATATTTCTATTCCGATTCTGTTGAAATCTAAATCTTTAAGTTTATAGTTATTACGGTGTTTATTACAATATGATTACTAAATATGTCAATACTTCTCTATTCGTAATTTATAATAAAAATTACAATAATAATCATATATTGTATAGAAAGAGGCCAAGAGCAATAAAACTGAGTAGAAACAGCGGTTTATAATTTGATTAAAGTTTCACATGTATCGATTGGATCTGCTGCAGTATTATATGTTTGTGTCAATCATTCATTGTTTGCACAGCATCCTTGGTAAACAATTACCATGCCACCACACTTAACAAAAATAGAAGAATAATATGATAGAAAATACGGAGAAAATGAAAGAGAGAGTGTGAGATTGAGAGAGATCGTAAATCGGTGTTAATTGATAAACAAATCGGCCGCAGATTTCGAAAATAGTTAAATCTCAAGATGGAAGAGGTGAGCATGTCGCTAACGCGCAACCTACAAAAAAATTATGCAACACTTATTTGGTTGGCTCTGCTCCGTCCGTCCCGACTCGTCACGACCTTGTGGAAGACGGCGAAACTACCGCGAAAGCGGCCTCGGGGCTCTCCAGAGTTTTCCAAAACTCCTCTCACATCATCATCGCTATCCTCCTCGGGCATCTTCTCTAAATGTGAAGGTCGACCTCGAGCGCGTCTTAGGCGCCAAATATATTTGAATTTATCGCATTCACTGATCGTGTACCAGTATTTCGGAGACGATCAAAACATTGCTATCAAATCTTCTCTAGTTTACAACAAACAAAGAAATATCGTAACTGGTTTATCTTTCAAGGAAATAAGGATCGAACGTGTGCCTCTAGGATTTTATACGGCAGACGCTAAATGCTAGTTGTCACATTTGGAAGAAGAGAGTTGGTCACCTACTGCTGGCAAGATGCCAGGGGTCAATCCTATTATATAAGCGCGATGATTTATTCTAAGGTCAAAGCGACGTCGTTTCTAAATGAGAGAAAAATACGAAAGAATAGAATGAGCATAAATGGAAAAAAATAAACGACGAGTTCATCAGAAAATGTGCGTTCCTCGAAAGCTAAATATATATGCACACATCATTTTTAGTTATTGCGTAAATAATATAAAGAATTTAGATTAAAAAATCAAAATCTGTACAGATTATAATTATTTAATTAAAAAATGTTACTTTATTTTTTCTACATTATCCTACCAAAAATAAACGTAATTAATTAATGGCTCATCAAATTGATAAATTATTGAGATTATATAATAAAACAATCAGTTTAACCTTGAATTAAAAAAATAACTGTTTTGTTAATTAATAATATTAATTTATTATATAACAGATTTTATTTAATAAATTTCTTCGCTTAATTGCAAAAAATCCATTAGAATTCTATTGAATTAGTCTCCAATTGGTGTAGGTCATCAGGTTGCTTTATATAAATAAGTAATTATAATCATTATCAAATTTTTTTTATGTATTACAATTTTTGATCGGTCATTTATACCAATAGAAAACTTTTTTCCCATGGAATATATTTTCAAGAAATTAACATATGAATACCTTATTTATACATAATGAGTATTTATGATTTATGAAGTGGAAAGGAAAATAAAGTCACGGTAATTATATTAAAGTTTAAGTCAATCATAAAATCTTTTATTCGATTAATTGCATCGTCGATGTACACGTATATTACCACGCCCAAAATCCGACTTTTACGTTATTTGTGACAAATCTTGATGTTGTTAACATTATAACTAACATCATGATTTTTATTAACATTTTGTTGTAAAATAAAACTATTGAATATTAATTATAAATCATTAATGCACAATTTTACTTAACAAATCGATTAAACCGGAGACTGGTTTGAAAACTTAATAAACAAATTGAACATGAATTGAGCTAAACTGTTATTCAAAAATTAGTACATAAAATTATACAAAAATGATCGTTTATTTTTCTCTTTATACATTTAACTCTCTGTTTGTGCGGTATATTTTTGTATGTATTTTGTTCCTCGATTAGTCCTGTTTTAAACAGTGCAGGATACGAGATATGGTTATACTTATAAATGAAAAATAAATAGTAAAGATTACTTCATAATAATTATAATTATATGTTAAAACAATCAATCAATCAACTTTTATCAATATTTTTGTTTCCCGGCGCTCCCACCAAATATTAATAAAATCATATACATTTGAGCAACAATTTCTAATATGAAATTTTTATATAATAAATAATTTACTAACGCTTAATATTTGTAATGATTATTGTTGTTTTTTACTTTCGATGTATTTCAATGCTTTCAATATTGGGGCTGGTATCGGTGGAGGAGTTGGAAGAACGTTTCCTTCCGGTTGGTAACCATTTTCATCAACAATGTAACCAATTTTAACCAGCTGTCCTTCAGGTGAAGTCCAATGGAATTTTCCGGTGGTGTAAATCAACCTTTTCTTAGAGGTTTGTTTGTTGATGAACGTTGATTGATCTGCATATATTCCATTTTCAGTTTTGTATCTATAATTAAAATATTTATAAAAAAAAATCGCAAAAAAAAAGATTGCTATTTTTAATTATTAACTGATTTCTTAATTAATATTTTCCTAAGATCAATAATAATAATAATAATGAATATTTTGAATTATTGTTTATATATTATGGATATTTGCATGAATATGGAAATTCAGTATAAAACCCAAAGCGCAAGGTTGTAAGTTGGTTGCATAAGAGTAAGTAAATCCATAGTAATATACAATTATATTTGCGGGCGGCTCATATCGCATTGCTTATGGTCGCCTGTATCATAAAAATCAGATAGAGAAGATTGGAATCTTAGACTCAAATAAAAATCATGGTGGTAGGAATAGAGTCGTGATCATTAAAATAAAATATAAACTAATTGATAAATTTTAAAACTTGCTTGTAATGATAACTTCCATCTGGATCAATCGATAAATCTTGGGCGATGATTTTTGCATCTGACTCAAGTCCCTTGTAATAAGTCGGTTTTGTGGGTCTGAAAATATTGAAACCGTTGCAAGCTGCTATAGCTACAAAAACGATGATCTAAAAAACACATTTAAAAACAATAATGATCCAATAATATTAAATTAACAAATATATTACAAATCTTCTCATATTGCTAATTGACAGAATCACACTGGTGCTCTTAAAACTGTCGTAAAACTATTTATACTAAAAATAAACAGTTTCAGAGTGTATATGAATATAATTATTGCTCAGAATTATAGTTGAAAAAATTAAATTATATCTTCTATAATTCGTTTTTTTTATTAGTTGTTAGTAAAATACGTTACTTTTTTTTGTTATATCCGCATGTGTTTTTGAGTTCGTTGACCGATGGTTAAATTCGGTATTTTTATGGAAAGCAATTTATCTGCAATTCTAAAATATGATAATAAAATGTGATAACTGTAAATAATATACGAGTTTAGAATTTTATATAAACGAGTAATATTATTATATAAAACATATTTTTTTGGTAAATAAAAAAATATTCTTAAGATTTATAAATAGTTTTTTTTTCAAGGATGTACATTATTATTTTATTTAACGTCCTTTTTATTTACAATCTATTTATAAAAACAGATTCAGTAAATAATCTTAATGGTAGATCCAGTTACTGGGTTGTCAAGCTATTATCAAGAAGATTCATAGTTAATACTGTTTTTCATTGATTAATTCTTCCATTGTTTTCATTTGAAGATCATCTTAAATTCTCCTGTTCGTAATATACTAATAATCCTTCTTAGGCTCTAGGACTGAAATCTTTGTATCATCGCAATATTAGATTTACTGACACCGTTCAACTGTATTCCATAGGTTCACTTTATAAATCAGCAGTTTATTTGCTTTTGAAATACCATAATAATATTTCTTAATACACATGACATTATGGTATATTTTTGATGGATTAAAACTTAATTATTTAACTTTGACAAGTTATTATAGGCAAATTGTACCATGTACATATCTCTAGGTAGTCTCTTTAGGAAGGTTATATCTTTTTGTTTAATTAGAGTATTAACTAATATTTCTGTGAATAATGTTTAAAGAGATAAATAATAAAATGTGAAGACGTTGCTTATTGTAATCAATATGTTTAAAGTAGTTTTTTTGGAGAGTCTATTTATTTATATTTAATAGAGTATTAACAAAATTTCAGTGATCAATGTTTACGGAGAAAAATGTTAAAACACTGTTTTTTCAGCCGTTATAATTTGTTGATATTTAACATTTAATTACAGACAAACTCTAATAGTTTAAAAAGCTATTAATTTATGTATATTTGGAGTAATACTTAATATATTTTTTCACATAATTCAATATTAGGGAAAAAAAAATCAATTTTAACAGTGAATGGAAACTTATAAGTAACTTGCAAGTCGGAAATCTTATAAATAAAAACGTAAAGACTTTTTTAAATTTATTTAGTGTTGTTTTTTTGCACCTATTTATTTCATATTTAAAACAAATAAATCATTCCTTACATAATAAATATTTTATGAATATTAGGTAGTGATCATTTAAAAGAAAACAACAACAATGATTGCCTATGACGAAGACAATCCATCTTGGGAAAGATGTTATTGGCATTTCAAAAACCTCAAATCATTGCGCGTGAAAAAATCGTAAAATCATTTAATAATAATAAAGAGTTTAGTTTAACATCTGTGTTTGTAGAGAACGAAACATGTAAACTATACGTTTGGCTACAATTTACATTTTTCGCCGCATCATTAAAGGTTGATTTCATTAGAACTCGTTTCCGGTTAGAAGTAAGTCTAGCACGATAATTCGTGACCATATTATTTATTTATTGCTATAACGTTTTACCAAATGCTAACTAGTAAATCAACTTAAATGAAAATACAATCAACCAGAAAATTTAATGAATATTATCAAGTACAGAAATAAATACTAAAGAAAAATACATTATTTTGATTCGTATTTATATTGTAATAATAATAAGCGCATTGAATAATTGCAAGAGCAAGTAAATTTAAATAACAATTAATTTAAAATTATATTCACGTATAGTTCAAATAACATGCTTATGTTTTTGTTGTTGTAAAGGTAATGTCTTGAATAAATGATAATTTGTTTTTTTTTTCGAATTTAATTTATTTACAAACTAGTAAAGTACAAGAGCTTGGGTCGTCATTATTGGTTTAGAAGTGTTTTGGTTGTTCTGGTTGGTATTGTGGTTGTGGGTGGGCAAGGATGTAGTCAACAGCCCTTTGGATGGCGGCTGGTACTGGTGGTGGAGTTGGGAGATCTCCTTGTGGTTGGTAACCGTTCTCATCAGCAACGTAGGAGATGCTGATGGGTTGACCTTCGGGGGAGGTGTATTGGAAAGAACCTTGAGCGGTCTTGGCTACTTGATCCTTGTTGATCTGTTGGATGTGTCCTTGTTCCTGGGCGGAGATGCCGTTTTCAGTTTCGTAACTGCAAAGATCAATGAAAGTCAATTAAATCAATTTAGAAACAAATCGATGATCCAACAACATACGCGAATTGGTAGGAACCGTCTGGGTTGACTTCAGAGTCTTGACGAAGGATTTTCACCTCGGCGTCTTGTCCTTGGTATGGTTTACGGAGATGGGACACATCGCAGGAGACTGCGGCGACCAAGCAGAAGGCAAGTACCTAAACAAATTATATAATTAATATAATTGAATTTCTTGTATTTGTTATTGTTGTTATTTACCAATTTGAAAGCCATTGTGTTGATATTCCAAGAGAGAGCTCGGACTGTTATGATCAATACCTGCTGCTCAACTCCTTTTATATGCGGTCGCGATAGTCGCCATTTTCTATTTTCGGTTGTTGCCAAAACTGATGGAATATTGTTAAAAGAATTTAGACTATTTCATCATTGGATGGATTGCAAGGACGGTCGCTATTCCGTCGCATCTAAATGTATTCTTCGCTGACATTTAGAAAGAAAAGGCAACACAAAAAAGTTATATGAATGAATTGCTTGTTCGAATCTAGAAAAACAATATAATTAGTTTATAATATTAATAAAAAGAAGTACACTAAGTAGTTTTTTTGATTTTAAATTTAATTAGATTTAACGATAAGAATTTCTAATAATACTACTACAGTCTCATACAAACCAATAAAAATATAATTATTTAATCATATTAAAGACAAAATTAATTAACTGTTACAAGGAGCTATTAATATTTTTATTTACTATAAAGTCAATACACAACACGGCTTGATTTTATAGTAAAGTGTAAATATTTGTAATTAACCACTTTCTCAATGTTAAATTTTATATTTTCAATTAAAAGATTTTCGTTTCTATTATTTCAAATTACATAAGAATATATAATGATATTATGAATTTAAAAATATAATTGCATTTATTTTGTATATAATTCTTTTTCATTTCGTTCTTTTTTTGCTAAACTTTAATTCCAATTCATTAATCATATTTTTTCCAGTAAAAAATACATTTATTTAGCTCAATTATTACAGAATGTATAAACTACTATACTCATTTTAGTTCCCTATAGAATAGGACAATAATCCTTGACAATAATAGCTAAAAAAAAATAGTAAAAAATGTGTCTTTTAAATAACATGAATGGCTAATAAATTTCAAGAGATTTCATCAGAAAATTTTTCATTCATCAACATTATGTCATAAAGACTTTTTTTACATATTTAAAAAAACACATTTTAAATATCATATGACACAACCGTAATAATAAAATTTAAATAATGATCAAAATAGATTTCTTCTCATTTTTAAATAATTATATTTGTGACTCTATTTGTTGTATTACTACTTTTTTTTTATAAAAAAAAATGATATGTAATTGTTTAGAGTAATTATTGAATAGTTTTCATATATTATTTCAAGGCATTTGCTCAAAATGGACTACTTTATATAAGAGTTCAGAAAATTTGTTTATGTATGAGAAATTCTTTATTAAACAATATTTACAGACACATCTATAGATTCATAACCAAGTTTTCTACTAAACGAGATAAAATTTAGTTAAATTAATGATGTGGTTGCTGTGGTTGCGGATGGGCAAGGATGGGCAAGGATGTAGTCGATGGCCTTTTGAATGGCAGCTGGGACTGGTGGTGGAGTTGGCAAATCTCCTTGTGGTTGGAAACCGTTCTCATCGGCAACGTAGGAGATGCTGATGGGTTGTCCTTCAGGAGAGGTGTATTGGAATGAGCCTTGAGCAGTCTTAACTACTTGATCCTGGCTGACCTGATGAATTTCTCCTTGCTCTTGAGCGAAGATACCATTAGAAGTTTCATACCTAAAATAAGCCAAGTAAATCAATAAGTAACCCAAAACACTAATAAATATTCAATATATACTGGTAATGGTAATTTTCTGAGTTCACTTCAGATTCTTGACGAAGGATTTGTACTTACATCGCAGGAAACCGCTACGACCAAGCAAATAGCATTATTATATAAGATTTGTACCAATTTGAAGAACATGTTTGATATTTAGTTAACACTAATCGAATACTCGAACTGTTAAGATTTCGGATGCATCATCGTCCCAATTTATACATATATTTAATGACACGGTGACATTTTAAAATACGACAATAAATTTACTAAAAAAAAATGAACTAATTCATATGTTCTACTGCAAGGACGATCACTATTTCTTCCCATCACAATACAATTCATTGGAATTTTTGCATCTCAACAAAAATAAGTTGTTTATTTGTTGCGGTTATTACATACTTCACTACTTATAAAACGGTATATTGACTTTTATGAATTAACATTTATCTCTTCACTTATAATCATAAATAAATTGTCGAAGAATATTACTTTTCCATAATTTTTCCATTTTTATCTTATCCATATTTGATAATTGACATAATTTCACTTTCAATTTCATTATTACTTCACAATAACGTCTACGCAATAATGACAACAATCTACGTCAAAATGATATCAGTTAAAGTCATTGTCAAATTGACTTTCTCAAAATTATGTAAGTTTACGTCAAAATTACATTAGTAAACGTCATAATTATCAAACCTCAAAATTACATCAATATGCTATGGTTTCCGTCAAGGGTTTATCAAATTCTAAGGTAACAAGAAAAAAACTGTATTTTATATAATTTATTATATAACAAAGTAAAAAAATAAATACATAATTCTCTAATATATAAGTTATTTACAATAAAATTTTCATTATGTTTCAGTTGGTTCGGGATGAGCAGCAATCCAATCTAATGCTTTTTGGATGGCCGCAGGAACTGGAGGTGGAGTTGGTAAATCACCCTCTGGCCTGTATCCATTCTCATCGGCAACATACGAAATGAGCACAGGTTTTCCTTCAGGAGATGTCCACTGAAAAGAACCCTGAGCAACAGTATCAACTTGATCTTGTCCTGCTGGTAAAACATATCCATTTTCGTGTGCGGCTATTCCATTTTCAGTTTCATAACTACGTAAAACATTAATTATTTTCTAAAGTAATTTCATTAATTTAAAACTTACGAGTAATGGTATGATCCGTCGTTTTTGATTGAAGTGTCTTGATTCTTTATTTGCAAATTGGCTTCATTTGCTTTATAGTGAACAGAACCTGGGGTTGTATAATAAACTGGACTAGTTTCTCTTACAGATGGTTTACTTGCAAAGGGTGTCAATAAATGAGTGGAAGGTTTTTGCAAATGCGAAACGTCGCAATAAACGGTCCAAAAGGACAAGATAAAAATTACCTAAAAATAATAGAAATTTATAAATTTTACCAACTTTAATTTAAAAAATAAATCTACTAACATATTTTAAACACATATTTAATTGTATTTATTTACGTGCTTATTTTATATTTAGATATTGCTTTTATGAATGCGTAATTTGATATGATACCTTTCGAGCAAAGATTGAATATTTATACAATCAAGCGTATCCCCATCATACGTTAATTTACGTTACATTTACTATAAAAAATAAACTGTTTCATAAGTCTTCATTCAAGGACGCGCATTATCTAACATTTCTTAGCTTGAGCAGTGGCATTTTACATATAGAGAAATTGCTCATTTCAAAAAACTCCTTAAATATATTTTTTTATTTATCCAAATACCATTTGTTCTTAATAAAAAGCAGTTGCAACAAAAATATACAGAGGTCATCAGCCTTATATAAATTGTATAAACGTGTGTGAAAAAATATAGTCTCAAAAAAAAATAATGCATGAAAATAATATCTGCAATTATTATTAATTTATTTATAATATTATGTAATACTACATCAAATTTTAAAAAATATAATTGCAACGCAACATATTTTTACATTTGGTTAAAATTTATGTAATTACTTTTTTAATTGCATGAAAAAGACATGATAGTTATAATCGAAAATTCTTATTTATGTTTCTTTAATTACTACTCATAATTACATCTTCTAACCACAAATAGGACACTAAAAGTAATTATAAGTAATTGAATACAATTTGGGAATATTTTATTATATTTTTAATTCAAATGAAGGAAACACCAAATTTAACTTGAATCGTTTGAACTAATTATAAATAAAAAAATATTACATTCTCATATTCTTAACTAAGTTTTCATTTGAAATGTTAAATAAAAAATAACTAATTTTTATTTCTTAAAAATTTATTAATTACAAAAATATCAAAAATATAAATACAAAATTATTGAATTAAATAATCTTTAAAACCTCTTTTGTTGCTCTGATTTCTGAGGGTGAGCGGCGATCCAATCAAGGGCTTTTTGGATGGCAGCTGGAATTGGTGGAGGAGTTGGTAAATCTCCTTCTGGACGGTAACCATTTTCATCAGCGACATACGAGATCAGAACTTGTTTTCCTTCAGGAGAAGTCCATTGGAAAGATCCTTGAGCAACTGTGGAGACTTGATTTTGTCCTACTGGGAAGGCGTAACCATCTTCGTAAGCCGCAATTCCGTTTCCAGTTTCGTAACTGTAATTAACATCGATTAATTAATTAAATAAGTTATAATTCTTAAGAACTTACGAGTATTTGTAGGATCCATCTTTTTGAATTTCAGATTCGTGTTTCTTAATCTGTACATTGGGTTCTTGGGTCTTGTAGTGAATTGGAGCTGCTGTGGTGTAATACACTGGTCGTCGTTGGAAAGCATTGACGTTACGAACCGTAGGTTTGTTAAGCGCAAAAGGTGTTAGCAAATGCGTGGATGGTTTTTGAAGGTGTGAGACGTCGCATGAAATAATCACTGCCAAAGAGGCGAAGATTGCCTAAAATTGAAATAATTTATTTGAAATTGTATTAGGAAAGTGGATTCTTATACTTACGTATTTGAAGAACATTGTGGTGTATTTGGTTGTTACTGATTGGAGTGCGTGTTTCAGTTTGATACAGTTCCACTTAAGCTTCGCGTTTATATAACGCAACGTATCCCCCATATACCATAAAGGAAGGTGTTTTATTAATAGTCCATGATACACTTATAAAAAAAACTAAACTATTTCATAACCGAGCAAGGTCACATGTTTCTAAGCTCGAGCAGTGACATTTTGCTAATGAAGAAATTTGGCAATTTAGTCAGTTTCCCATACATCACATACTTTATTATAAATCGATTGATTCTGTCATTATTGTTTACATAAAGCCTATTATTATAAGTTACAAAAGAATATATGAATAAACTGTATGATAATCGTTTACTACATTTTTTCATTTCAATTTAGAACAGACAAATTTGCAAAAGCTTTAATGTAATTTATTAATTTTTCTTAATAGTAAAATTACTGTTAAGTTTATTTTTATTAAATTTATTTAATAAAAAAATACACGAAGGCCAGAAATACCTATGGTCAATTGTAGTTAACTTTTGATTTAATTATTATTATTAAGGTTTTATTTGTATTTTTTATTATAAGAATAATAATTATTATTATTAATAAACAAAGCCTTTTCAGTTTTTTATTTTGATATGATTAAAAAATGTATATTCAATATGAACAAGCCCAAAATGTAATTATTTGTATTAAGCTTGCGAAAGTTAAGCAACAATAGTACTTGGATGAGTGTCCGGTAAAATTATTCAAACTTTGATCTAAACTGTCTAGAAAAATGTAGACGTTGTGATACAGTATTTCTGAATTGTAGCAAAACTTTTTTTAGGATAAATAAGTCTATAATCAATCTTAAAAATAATAAAACACTCCAATAATAATTCATAATTACTGATAAGATATAATAATGTAGCAGTTCAAAAAAAGTAATTAATTAAAATTAAATTAAAAAAACATAATTATATAATCAAACAAACACTAATTAATTGTTAAAAACAGCTATTGACAAGCCTAAATCATATTTTATATTTTTGAACTTATTTTTTGTATATTGAATAATAAATTAATTAAATTTATTTGAATATAAATTATATTAACGTTTAGTGAAAAAAAAAATTGATAAAGAAACTTTTATAAATTATCGAAACATCGCTACATTTGACAATTTTTTGAATATTTGAATAAAATTCGTTAGTTTAATTTTATAAAAATTTATTAAGTATTATTTATAAACATATAAAAATTAAATAAACACTTTATCGATGATCTACATTTTTGATAATTGGGAAATTTAGAATCTCCTTTTTGGTTCAGTTGGCTGTGGGTGTGCTGCGATCCAATCCAGAGCTCTCTGGATGGCAGCTGGGATTGGTGGTGGTGTTGGCAAATCTCCCTCTGGCCTGTAACCGTTCTCATCGGCAACGTAAGAAATGAGGATTGGTTTTCCTTCAGGAGAAGTCCATTGGAAAGAGCCCTGAGCGACGGTAGCAATTTGGTTCTGTCCTACTGGAACGGCGTATCCGTTTTCATGCGCGGAAATTCCATTTTCAGTCTCATAACTACAATAAAGTAATGTGTTATTAATCAAGATTAAATTATGTTGTTAAATGTGATTAAATTAGATTAGTGGAAAACTTACGAGTATTGGTAAGATCCGTCGTTTTTGATGTGAGAATCATGTTTCTTGATTTGGAAGTTGGCTTCTTGGCTCTTGTAGTAAACAGGGGCTGGAGTGGTATAGTAGACGGGCCTTGGTTGTTGGAATGTGTTGACACGAGCGGGTTTAAATGCCGGGAATGGTGTCAGCAAATGCGTGGATGGCCTTTGCAGGTGCGAAACATCGCACGAAATGGCAGCAACCAAAGTTGCAAAAACGGCCTGAAATTAGTACAAAATTATTGAATTGATTATTTAAACTGTGCACGCCTAATCACACTTACGTATTTGAAGAACATGATTTAATTGGGGTATTGATGCTATGAATGAATGATTCGAATTGATTCGATTCTGGCAAAGTTTTGTATTTATATGAGCACGCTTACCCCCAGAAAACTAAAAAAGAGGATAAAATGTAGGAGTTTTCTTTATAGTCATCGGTACACTTGTACAAAAAATAAACTATTTCATAAGATAGCAAGGACGAATATTATCCAATATTTTAAAGCTTGAACATTGGTATTTTGCGGATGATGAACAATCATTTGCCAACATTGTTTATTGTATAATATGCAAAATTTATGATATTTCTACCTGTGTGTTCTTTTTTATATTTGGTAATTGATAGTTTCCTTTACAAAAAAAAATACAATATTAATTCCTACGTCCTTCAGAAAATGAAGCATTTAAGGTGTAACATCCTTAAAAGTATTATTAGCATAACAAACTGTTTCATTATGAAATGCAGAGATGAAATAGATGAGAAAAAAAAAGAAAATTAATAGTCATTGCCAATTGACTTATTAATTATACATGCGTCAATAATAAGAAAATTTTGTTTCAAATTATTTCTTTTTTTTTATTTTTAGACACGTGCAATTTAAATTGCGTTGAGCAACGTTTATTCATTATTAATTAAGAATCGGCCCATCTTGCTAAACACTCTTCTGCATTAGCATGATAAAAATGCATCTGTGATAATTGCGTAAATCCTCTGCTTTCACCGCGCACGTTGTCTTCTTTCGACGACCAAATATCACGTCGAATTTCAATCAATACATTATCATAAGTTATATAATATTTGTAGAAGATTATCATATTTTAATTTATTGGTGCAATAATATAAACATGATGTTGGAGACGCAATATTCAAAAATTGTTCTCGAATTTACTGGAAGTTTCACATCTTCACAACTTACCACAAAAAAATCTCTTTTTTAAAACTTACTGAATAAAATTAAATAGATTTTCTCTATTAATTCATAAATAATTTCAGTAATTTTATATTCTTTAGACATTTGTATGTTACCACTACTTCTTTTCAGTATATTTTTACTACAACTTCATTGGATCTAGTCGGTAATCATGTACGTAAATTATACTTACTAAATTGATGAATTGATACAATATTTTAATTAATTCAAATTTATTCAATAGGTTACACAAGTTTATAAATAATTTGAAAAATATTTTCATTTGATTATTTTTCATTTTATTGTTTTGATTATATAAAAATGTTTTTATATATGCTTATATGTGACTGTTATTATAAAGATAATTTTTATTATGAAAGAAGTTGTTTAATTTGTTTAAATTGTTTTATTACATGCATGAATTATAAGTTCAATGGAACGTCGCTTAACAAGCATAATTCGTTCAAGAATCTTTCTCATAATGCAAAATACTAGTTAATCGAAATAATCTTTCCTATATAAAATAATGTAAAATACAACAATGCCAAATCTTTCAAGGATTAATTTTACTTTATTTATCAAAGCCACTAATTAGATAGATGGCCGAAAAAACTATATATATATATTATAACACTTTATGCAAACAAAAAGATCGTTTATATAATATAGATTTAAATAAAGTAAATAAAGAAAATTAACTTTTATCCAACCTAGGAGTTCCAGAACTGAACACCGGGAAACATTTTGATATATTAAGGGCGCTGCAAACCCAAAACAGTTTGGGAACCGTTGATCTTACCTAATGTTTGCATTAAATTTTGCATTAATTGGTTGGGAAATGACAAATTTCAAATCGAAGGTAATTTGAAAAGTTTTGAAAGAGAAAGAGAAAAAAATAATTTTGTGGTTCAAAAATTATTTTATTTTTCAATATAATTACAATACAATTTAGATTTTCAAACAATTCTATACCATGTTTATAATTGTATAAAATACAATTGTTTATAATATAATTGTATACAAATAATTTAAGTTTAATAATTACATAATTAAAGTAGTATATTTTATTAATTAATAGTAATAGAAATTGAATAATAACGATAGACTCTTAAGTTTTAAAAAGTAATATCTTAGTTTACAGGTTGCAAAATAACTGTCTACAATTACTTCTTGATTGGACGAAAAACGATTTCCAGAACATTTTTTTTAGGTTCAAAACACTCTTGTCTTTTTCAAGATTTTTTTCATCCAATTGATCCAACAAGCTTATATAATATTCTAAGTTTATTTTATCTTTCTCAAGTTAATCTATTAACAAAAATCCCTTTGCATCCCAAAAAACTCATTCCATAATCTTTCCCATGTGTATAGGACAGATAATATTTTAAAATGGAAGAGGAATCGTTTAATTACTTGATTATAAGTATCGCTTTCAAAACATTTTAAACTGAAAACAAATATGTTTGGTCGCGCTGCTAAAAACGTTGAGAAACGTTGTTATACAGATTAATTCTATGTATATGCTATGAATATAATTTTATTATAAATAACATACTAATTCACTGATTATTTAATAAAGATTTAACTAATTAAATTTACTAACGATAAAATTTTGTAAAGTATAAATATTTTATTTGATATAAATTTAATTATTTATGCTTTTCATACTTTTATAATTAAAGTTTTTTTTAATATTTTTACTATATTTAATACTAATAATCAATGTAGTAGTTGATTAATCCTTGCACAATATATTTAATTATAATTTGATTAAACAGAAAAATAATTATAGACGAAATATTTTATTTAATATGTATTTTCATTACAAATTCATATTTTTAATTCGTATTTAATAATAAAGATATAAAGAATTGAATTAAATTAGGTTACAAATGTATACATGATCTAAATAATTAATTTATATAAAAGAAAATGATATTATACCACTATTTAATCAGAAAAGATTAAATTATCAAATATAAGAAAGAAACATAATAGTTTATGATTTATTGTTGTTGAAATAGATGCAGTTCTTAATTCTATAATAAATACTATAATAGGTATTGCATGTTGTCTAATTTAACCTTAAAATACTACTGAAGAAATATGCTGTATTATACAATTGATTGGTTCAACCGGTGCAGCGCAATTTCATTTTTTTTTAGAAAAAGTTCAAGTCAGTTTATTGTAATTTCCCGGCTGCTCTCTGAAGTTCAAGAGCTTTGATGATTTCAGATGGAATTGGAGGTGGAGTTGGCAGATGATTTCCCTTTGCAATGAATCCATTTTCATCTGCTGTATAAGATACTGTGTACACAATATTATCTGGTCCTGTGTATTTGTAATATCCTTTAGCCCTCATTGCCTCTGCATCCTTGTTTCCTTTGTTCACAACTTTTCCATTTTCCTCAGCAATTATACCATTTTCAGTTTCGTATCTAAAAAAATGTAAAGTTTTAGTATGTGAATTTGATTATAGTTATAATATAAAACAAATATTTTATTGATAGAATTATAATTATAATTTCAAAATGTATGCCAATTGTGTTTTATACTAGTTATGTATAAAAGAGTTAAAATTGAATTAAATGAAAAAAAACTAATATTTTGTAATTATATTCACAGTTTGCATTTGTTTGTGCACTTTTTGTTTCTTATTGTAACAAACGATAATTTCTTACTTATTAATATTTCTTTAATATGTTAAGTATTGAGTAATGTAACGCGATAACTGAGAAAACTAAGTACATTCATTATCTTATAAAACGTTTGATTTATACGCCGTTTACCTCGATTTATTGCAGCGTATCCAATTACATGTTATTAATACTAAAAATATTAAAACAAGACAAGATTGAAAAGGTGAATTATTAACATAACTTAAACCGAATCAACTAGGTAATTTTATGAACAAGAGATAATTCAATGTAAGATAATAATTTCATTAAAAGAATATTGTTAATTTAAAATATAATAAATTTGTCTTGATCCTTTCACATAAATACAAATTTTGCCGAAACTAATTTTACTATGAAGGTATATTTTCAATATTTAATTTATATAAGCCATTTGCTCATATACACAACTAATCAAGATTTTTCAAATTAGTTTAATAAATAATTAACTGTTATTTACATATACATTTATAATATGTATACAGTGGAACCTCGCATAACGACAAAAATGAATTGTAAGAAGAATGACTCGCTTAACGAGCAACGTTTCGCATAACGAGTGACGATGAGAAGTTCCGGCTACATCATTTTTAAAACTTGTGTATACATATTATGTGTATTTTTGAATATGTTTCACTATACGAGTATTTCACTATACGAGTTAAAATCCGGAAATTTTGGAACGTATTAAACTCGTTAAGCAAACTTCCACTATGAAAATTTATAAAATAAGCTATTCTTAGTGGTGTATTTAAAAATCGTATAGTAGGCAACTATAGTTACTTCTTTAATAACTTGTTATTCTTATTTAAGTAGATTCACGTATATTTTTTACATCTTATAGTTGATATTAAAGTATATTATACTCACTCCCATTGATAAGCATCGTTGCCTACATTTCCACTTTGCTTGATGATCCTCCACCTACCATCATCAAATCGGCCTTGATTATATTTGGCTGGAGCAGGAAATCCACCGGAAGGATACCGACGGGTCGGATTTATAGGTGCGGAGGAAGACTTGCTACCAAAAGCCCTTTTAACTTCATTGTTTGTCTTCAATTGATACTTTTTTGCCTCAAACGTATTTGGTCTGGCGAACTGCTCGTTGCGTGACGTTTGTGCAGATAAGATTGATTGGAGCCTGTATGCAGTATTTTGACCTAAAATAGACAATTAATTATTATAGATATACTATAAAATAGATAGACATAATTGTTTTAAATAAATTGAAAATAATTATGTTGCAAATTACATATTAACTCTGATCAATTAAACAATTCATGTTAATTACTACTTATTAATTGAAAAGTTACTATACAGTTGAATTGACAAAAAAAATGATAACTAAAGTGTTAAAATCAAAATATCTGTAATGGTTATGACTAGGACTTTTAAATAATACTGTTTTCTTAATACATTTATACTTGATTTCATATTGTTTCATTCGAATGAAGACTTAAATTATTAATGATATGTCTGTAGTGCTGTCAAATAGATCCAATGATATCGCACGTATCAATTAGTTGTACATAACATGACATATTATATACATAATTTAAACAATTGCAATATTTTGATAGGATTAGAAAACTGGCAAAATTGATCTCAGCATAATGAGGAGGTTTAAAGAAGAAGGACAGAATTAGGTACACACTATGTACTATTTCCTAAGTAACTTGTCCATTACTATGGTTCTCATAACTTTATTCTTCTATTGATTAAAAGAGTAAGCAAGTACTTCGTAATAATCTATAATAGTACTTACAAGAAGATTTAAATAAGATGGATCTATTAATTTATTTAATAAATATATTCAAAAGAATGAGTAATAATTTATTTTTTAAATAAATTGATTGTGACAGTAATGTTGTCTAATAGCATCACTTAATGGAGATATGCAAATATAAATTGATTATATCTTTAAACGATAGATGTCGTTACTAAAATGTTATATAAATAATTTAAAAAATTATGTTAAGTTTAAGCTGAATTATATTTTTTACTTAAACTTTCTATTTGTTTTTTGTTTCTGAGATATTTGTATGACATTCAAACTTACCACTGTTGGGTCTAAACCTGAGACCTCCTTCATGCCTGTATCTGTCATTGGTACCCGTGTATCTTCCTGTACCATCATCAAGATAACGTCCACTATCATCTGGAACGTAGAGACCGCTATCGTCGGGCACGTACTGTCCGGAATTATCGTGCACGTAACGACCGTCTTCGTTTCCAGACTCGTAGAAACCGACGGATTCCGGACGGTACTGACCATCTTCGTCGCCGTAAGCGACTCCCACGAACACCAAAGCAGCAACCTAAGAAGAATGTTCAATAGTAAATTAATATATACATAAATACACAATTTATCAACCTGTTCACAAAACAAACAATTATTAATAGTTTATATTTATTCTTATTAGTATTAATATTTACTGTTTGCAAAATTATTTAATTTTTTCTACAAATATAATTTGTGGCAAAACTCAAAATGTATAAAAGTACATAATTTTAGTTTGAATATTGTTCAATTGATAAAACAAACAACTATTTCGTCTATTTTAATAATAAGCCTATTTTTCTCTCTTATAAATAATTTGTACCAATTAAATTTGTACATAATTCATATTTTAAAACAAAAAAGTATGTCAGTTATTATTTATATGTATTTAGTTATATTTGTACCAATCATATTCGTATGAAAAATAAATATTATTTCCAAATGAATTTAATTCCAGTTTGATAATATTGTTCAAATGCATAAATCATAAAACAAACAAGTAGGTTTCTTCATTTTTCTTATTACTTTTGTGTAATTAACCATAAGAGTCAAATTGAAATTTCAATAATGCATAACTTTAGTTTGGGAATGTTCTTTGAACTCATTTATAAACCAGTTTAAAGAAACAAACAAGTATTTAAGTCTATTTTAATTATCAGTATTTAAATTTACTATTTATCTATCTATTTTCATTAATTTTATAATTATTTTTTAATAATTAAATTACTCACATAATTCAAATTTACATTTCGAACGTGCATATTTTTAATAATGGAATGTTGTTCCATCAAACAGTTTATTCTTTTATACTTTATAGTTTTTATTTTAATATTTAGTCATCAAATTTAACGATAATTTTAGATTAATAAATAAATTTTATGCATATTTGAAATGTTTATCATAATGTATTTATTTTTATCATCATAAAAGTAAACATTCCAATACAATTACAAGTCTTATATAACCGTAATATCTCGCATAATCCTGCTTCGATCAGTCCGGTTTAAACTCATTTTAAATATAGTAAGATACAATAAATTATAATAAAACAGTACAGTAGAACCTCGCATAATGAGCATTTCACTTAACGAGCAAAATGAATTGTAAGAAAAATGACTTGCTTAACGAACGACGTTTCGCACGACCAGTGACGATGAGAAGAGAATTCCCGGATTGTGCGCCTGCTACATCATTTTCTGTGTACACACATATTATGTATTTTTTTTTAAATATGGTTGACTATACTTAAACTCGTTAAGTGAGGTTCACTGTGCACAATTTTTGAGTAGTTTCTCTTTTTTTTTGTATTTAGTTTTTCGAATAGTCCGGTTTCAAACCGTCCGGGACATTGGGGGAACCGATTACCCGGAGTATGCAAAGTTTTGCGAAATTTAATTATTACTTAATTTACAAATCAAACAAGTGGCATTAATAAATATTAAAATAAGTTGTTTAAAAAATAATTTTCCTAACAGATACTGAGAGTATAGTTACATAATCATATTATTTGAGTATTTTTTCTTATAAAAAAAAACATATGTTTGTTATTTAAAATATCGAAAAAGAAGAAAAAATGTTTATCGTTATTTGTTATAAAATTATTCGTTGTTTTTTTTATTCAAGTTGGAAACTACAGCACACCTTGATATTAAAAAATTGAAATGTCGAGCATCATCCTTGACTTTAAATACCTGGAATTAGAACACTATTTGAACTTGAATCATCAAGAATGTATCATCCATTTTATATAAATATACATAATTAATTAGTTACTTTTAATAATAATAAAATTTATTGCAACAGTCAAATAATAATAATATTTTAATATAAGACAAAAAATCAACTGCTGCAAAGTGATATTGACAATTCATTTTCTGCCCTTACTTTTTTTAATTTATTTAAGTTCAAGATAAGTTCAGAGCTTTTTTATTCACATATTCATTTTTAATAAAAGTGACACTTAAGTAACAATTAACAAGTGACAATTGTGTTTTATTAAAAATATTTTTTTTTATTATCCAAAAATAAGTGTTAAAAAATATGTATATATGAACATTAATCACATTATTAATTTTTGCAGAAAAAAATCACTTAAAATTCATAACAGAAATAAACTAAAACAATAAAACTTATTTACACTGATTGATTGTACTGATATATAATTCAGTCGAAATATCACTCTCATTTGAATATAAATTTCTTCTATGAATTAATATTACATTTAACTAACCTTCGAGAAGTTTCAAAATGTTGCGGTTAAATAGATTACTCTTCTTCTCAGAATAGAAAAAATAAGTGGTAATGATGAAGTCGTGACAAACTGATTCAAGTTATATAAAATACACCCGAATGTTCAATAAGAAGGCCATATTTTTTTTATAAATCTTTCATTACATTTTATACAATGTTCAATACATTAGCTTATTATCTTCCAAAATCAAAATTTGTTTGTTAACAAGTCTAATTATTAGTTATTAAACTAAATTAATTGAATTAATTAATACATTCAGAAACTTATTTTTTTTAAATAATATATTTACCCAAATTGTTGTAACATCATTTAATTATTTCTATATTTTCAAAGCCAATACAAAATTTGAATTAATCAAGTATATTGTTTAGAATCTTATACAATGGATACAAGTATTCTTAATTAAGTTTAGTTATTCAAAATACAAAAAAAAATAAGACTGGTTATGAATAAATGTATAATGAAAGCTTTTTACATATGATAATTGTTCTAAATTAATTAAAAATGTTCAAAATGATTATGAGTGTTCTGATGTAATATATGAGCTTTAATTTTATTGGATTTTGAGTTGCATAACATTTTGTCACAAGTTCTATGTTATTAAATAACCTACCTCAAGTTTGGAACTTCGTTGTTAGATGTGTGCAGTTTTCTAAACGATTTATATAATTTATGGAGGTTGTTTAATAATATGAATAATATTTTGAAATGTGTTGATTTGACTATTTGGTGTTGATGTAGGATGTCGAATATACCATAATTCTTACAAAATAATTTTCACTTTCGATTACGATTCACAACGAATACCTATGCTAGTTTTCATGTTAAACATTTCTGAAATAAATTATACCTTTTAACGGGTTTTATGTGAGCAAGACCAGCTGTTATTATACATGCAATTACTGATTTATAACCACTATTAACACAAATACAAAATTGATATTAATATTACGTAAAGTTTTAACGATTTTCGGGTATACACACATTAGTAATTTCCGTGTATATTTATTCCACTTTGTTCGTCGACCTTTTGAACTCTTCTTTCAATTTAAGTAAATAAAAACATTCACTGATGCAATAGCGTTTGCAACCTAAAATTGTCTCTAACATTTCAGCACTGCTAATTACCGCAAATATCCTGGCAAAGAGGAAACAATTGAAAACCTCGACCTCCAATCGCTAAAAGAGATCAGCAATTTCACCATTCGATATGAAAGTGAAAGCGTTTCCATTTGGCACAACAATGCAACAACAACGAAAATTTGTAAATTGAGATGAAAGAGCCCTTTTGTATTTATTACACAAGAATACTCACGAGGTATGACGCCAACAGAATCATTGCCGCTAATAAATCTTTTTATTTTGACATTGGGATGAAATATTGTTATTGTGAGTAAGCCGTTTGGCATTTTCCTGCCTTTTTCTCCCAACTGTCTCGTGTAGGTGAGAGAGGATGGAAAAAATGTCTTCTGCGATTTTGCATTATGCATTTTGCATCGTGTGTTGCGCCTTTCTAAACGAGATTCCCGAGAAGATCGTAATAATAATTAATAAGTGAAATATAAAATGTTACGCGTCATTCAAAGATTTACTTCGATTAATACATTCCTGATGCACATCTGCGCGCGGCCTTGCATTACAAATACACCCGTTTCCCATAACATTTTCAATTAATTTTGAGATAGGAAATTTTTAATTAGCATTTGCCCAATTCGCAGATTCCTCTAAATATCATCGCATTACGTAATTAAATTTATACTATCGAGAAAGTCATACATACAAAATAACTCCTTTTAATATACATTTCAATGATTACTACATCATTTTCAACAAAAATTGTTTGAAATAAGTTAAAATATTAAAAAAAAAAACATAATACAATTAAGATTTTAATTCGTATTTAGATAGAAAAATTTCTTTAGATTAGGCTAAAAAATCAAAAATTACTCTAATACTAAATCCTTATAATTCAATTTAAACTAATAAAATAAATACACAAAAAATTCAAATAATTTACAATAATTGAATTGTGCAATATTCAAATTCTTCTAAATATCGAAATATAAAATATATCATTAGCTAAAAGCATCAATAAAAGTTGTATAAAAAAAAATCAAAGAACTTAAAATAATGCAATTCAAGTAGTCAATGAAATATTATTTTATCGTATTCGTTAGTAAAATCGAGATAATGCTGAATCTTAAAATCAGTTTAATTAAATTACAATAATAGTTAACAAAAAAAATCAATCAATGATAAAAATTAATAAAATTGAACAAATAAAAATAATTCTCTTTTGGGTCAAATTGGGGCAATGAAAGTTCTAAATAAATAAAAAATAATTGAAATCAAGTAGTCAATGATTTAATTATTCCATTGATAATTGAATTACTAACACATTCATAAAATACTAATCGTATGGAAATTACTTTGAATGAATAATTGTACTAAATTATTGTTGCTGGTACTTAACGACTTGCATAAATCAATTCCTTCAGACATGGAATCAAATAATCATAAATATGCTGACATGCAAAGACTAGAATTATCGCAATGTACACATTGACAGGTTGATACGATCTTATCCAATTTAACTAAATGTTATAGCACACGAGAAATGTGTTAACAATCTTTTGAACTTCCTTGCATACAATCACATTAATAATGCCATTTTTACATACATTTCTACAACTAACACAATTTATTCATATAAAAATAAACTAAAATCTAAAATTAGCAAATTGCAAATTGCGTATTTTTTTCATAATTATGTAAATAATTGGATTTTTAATTATTTTATTTTCATTTGATTATTCAAAATTATTACTCTGACCGAAGTCATCTTTCACTTGCAGTTTTAAAATTAAATGTTAAAATTAATTATTTATTACTAACCGAATGATTACATTGATTAATCGTTTGCATCATTATATAAAACAATGTGCGTTTTCTTTACGTAAGAACATTAAGATTTGCGTCGTTGGAAATGCAAATGGTATTTGTTTTTGTGAATGTTGGGAAAAGTGCATTTAAACTTTTTATTTTATTTTTTCCACTCACCAGGAATCTCATGTTGAGTGCGTGTGTTATCGTTACGAAGACGTTGATGAACTGTCCCCTACGACTGACCGGCTCCTCTTTATATAACACTTTCATTTTCGGGGGTGCTTTGAAACGGCCTACTGTTCCAATTGCACAGTTTCCGTTTTTTTTCTTCTTCTTACCTCTTTCATTGTTTCACTGCAACGGCTTAAGAACACACAGATTATCCTTCTATTTGCCAGAAACCTTGATACTCGAAAAAAAANATCCCATATGCACAATCCGTGTGGAAACATGTAAACTGGAACATTTGTTACTTAAATTGTATCGACTAATCTTGATGCAAGTAAAATAATTGTTAATAATTAACATTCTTTGCTATTTTCTATATCTCAAATATTTTAATTTTCTCTTTATTTTTTTAGTATAGTTAATTATGAAATATATTAGAGTAATTTTATTAAATAATTATAACAATATTCATAAATAATTACAAATATTGCAAATAAGAAAATAAAGCTCATATTTTTTAATAAATAATATTAAAAATAATTTATGTATTGCATTTGTATGTAATATTTACATTTTCTTCCAAAAAACTCAAATATAGAGACAAAATAATATGATAGAAAAATAAGTGTAGAGATTTTTTTTTGTATAATATCTCTTTCGTTTATAATCTATCACAAAAAAGACATTAAGTAACATTGATGAGGAACTCAACAGTATCCATTAATAAAATCTATGAAATATATTATATAAGAATTGTATTTGTATATTGAAATCAGCAAAATAAAAGACATAAGTATATTTTTTCAGAATTATATTTAATTTAATAGTTTTATTACTTTTATTTTGTTGTAGTCGAATTGTACTAAACCAAATGAAATACAATTAATAAACTATTAATTTATTAACTTTAATTATTGAAATATTTATTAAGTCTTTTGCATATTTGTATCAAGTTCCATATGTTATTATACGAAAGTTTTAATAGAAATCTGAAGAAATCTGACAATTGATTGAAAATATAAATAATGTCTAGTTTCTTTCTTTATTAACACTGTATACTGTGTAATTTCTGGATTTTCACTCGTAAAACAATTTTCTCCATATAAAGTAATGTAATATACGATAATGCGTTCTATTTTGGGTGTCATTTTTCTTACAATTTATTTTGCTCGTGAAACGAAACGATCGTTATTCGAGGTTCCACTATATAAGTTATTAAGATTGTTAAATAAACCTTGTACAAATTATTTAATTTTATATATCAATTGATATTTGCATAATTCTAAAGAGATAAACGAACAATTCTAATTGAAAATAATAGGTTTCGTAGATGGTAGAGATAGATCCATGGCATATTCAATTTGCAAATGAATTGAAAAAAAGAAGTGTGAATCATTTGCATGCAAAAATAAAATAGCGATCACGCGAGATACGAAAAACAATGGACTGTATTTTCGGTAATTAAGTATAGCAGCAACCGTCTTTTGGTTCACGAAAACTGTCTCGAGTTGTAAATGGTCGAGTTGTGTAATCGGGTGCGACATACATGTGATTTCAGCTATTTCAATGGGCTTGTTTGACCTATATTGCATATCCCAACATCCCATTCGAAGGTCGTAACATCGCACAGCACACACATACATATTTTCATACAATCGCGAATCCATCTTATCTGGAAGCATCCATCGCCTGTACCCAACATCCAACACAGCGCCATGCAGTGTGAATCCTGCTGGCAGGAACCAAAATCGATCGGCGCGTGTCGAAGGACAATCGTAATTGTTTGGAAATTTTGCATATCGTTGTTCTCTTCTAGACAGCTCGATCTGCTTGCTAATAGAGAAATCATCGGTTCTACATGCTGGAATGCATGAACTTTCTCAGTGACGTGCAATTAAAGCCGCAGTAATTGATAGCTTTTTTTCTTCTTTTCGTGTTATCCACAAAGTGTGGGCGATTAATGATAGTCATCTTGTGGCACGGATTTTCAGATTAACATTGTACATTTGCAACGCTTTGTTAGACAATCCGGACAACCAATAAATATGCCCATGGTATTGATAATGAGAATTGAGAAATTGGAAGGACCATAATGAAAATTTATAGCTATCACCCATTGTTCGAACAGACGTTACAAAAATGGATATCTCATAACATCTGTACAATATTTTCTTCATCATTGTTTTTTTATTTCATAATTTATTAACTCTCATTTTATCACTGATGATTATAACATGACAAAATATACTAGAACAAAAAACAATAATCTTGTATGTGCTAAAATAATTAAAATAATTACATTTTCTTATTTAAATAAGTCTATGGACCAATGAACTAATGAACTATTGACCGAGGTCTTTCTGCAAATATTTGTTTAATTATATTTAAATAAAGAAATCGTGTATATCATTAATATTTTATTTAAGCAGTTTCGTCAAAAACAAACAATATTACTTAAATGGTGGCAAAGTTCAAGCAAAGTTTTCTTTTTATTTCACCAAAAAACAACACAATGTTGAAACGAATTTCTCACAACGTGTGCAACCGGCACTAAATTATTAATTGGCATTAATCGAATTAATATTACGTAATAAAATACCAATAGAAAAATGCATGGAATCTTTCAGAACTATTTAAGGCTAAGGACAATGAAGAAAAAAAATAGCAAAAACAAGGATGATTATTTTTAAATTTATAATGGCATATCCATAAACGTGTTCACATTTTAATATTCTGGAATGCATTTCTTTCGTTAAATGTCAATTTTAAAAACATGAGTATTTATCAATATTAATATTGATTTGTCGTTTATTTTTTTGTTGATCTTTCAGTAAAAAGCATTTATGGATTTTTATCGAAAACTGGTAATTATTTAAATCATTTTATTAGTATCTATTAATTTACAAAATATTTTTACAAAAGTATATGAATATAGTTTTTTTTTTCGTAATTAGTCAAAGAATAAAATCATTATTTTAGCCTCAGATCAGTCAGAATATTTTACGTTCATATTTTAAGTTATAAAGTTCCTTGGGAGCGCTGGTACTCGAGGGCCCTGGCGATGTCTTCTGGGATTGGAGGAGGAGTCGGAAGATGGGCGGCTTCTGGAACGAATCCCTCTTCGTCGGCTTTATACTTGACGGTGTATACGATGCTGTCTGGTCCAGTGTAGGTGAAGTATCCACGAGATTGGATTCCTTCCTTTCCTCCCATTGTGACCAATTTTCCTTGCTCTTCAGCAAAAATTCCGTTCTCAGTTTCGTACCTAAAATAATAAATTATTAATCATTCTGTTTGGATTACCGCTGCGTTCATTATATTACAAGAAGTAGTATTTGTTGTTCTTGACGTCTTCAATTTTACGGATGATGCGGTAATTCCTGTTATCGTACAAACCAGCCGCGTTGCCCTTCTTGAGTCCCGGGTTGACACCGTAAAGGTTCTGAGCTGGGACGATCTTCTTAACTGGCCTGGATTCCGCTACGTAAGGCTTGTATTTATCCTCCTGGTGCTTATACTTATCTTCCTGATGTCTGTACCTTTCTTCCTGATGGATGTAATCCCCGGAATTATCGTGATAATATTGTCCATCGTTGTTGTGTATGTATTGCCCTTCGTTGGATCTTTCGTTTTTATTATCACGGTTAAAACTGAAGGGAGTATATTGCACCGGCTTGTACGTCCTGGCAAAAGGCGATCCTTTGTTATAGTTGTTGTTGTTATTAAAACGATTGAAAAGCTGGGCACTTCCCAGAGCGAAAAGCCCAACGAAAACTACAATCTGCAAAAAGAAAATTGTTAAAATCGAATTAAGCTAAGTTATTATTTTGTTTCTTATTTAATAAGCGTTCATCTTCACTTACTGAGGTCTTCATGATTGAACGTTGAAATTCCAAATGCTATGATTTCGTGTCGGGAATCCTTGTATTTATAGAAAGACGACGTAGGAAATGAACAATCACTGCCACTATTTTTTTTTCATATATATATATATAATCTAGTAAACCCACCTACTGAGTGAATCAAAGCAATTCACCTATAAACCTTTAGTTTCAAAGTCAAGACTAATTTATGGCTATTTGTAAACAGAGACATCCAAAACAACGCGACACATATAGCGCAACGTATAAAAAATATCAGCGAGAAGAAATAGATGATGAGAGTCTGGTATTTAAATTAGACTGCATTACTATCCTGAATTCCATAATATGGGTTCGGCCAATTACACAGAACACATCCATAACATTTTTATTTTAACAGTTCAAGATGAATAGAGAATAAAAACTTGTTGAAAAGTATTTGATTGACGGATTTTAATTGTTTATTGAATCTTACATAAAACGTAAACAAATTGTGAACTTTTACCCATTTGCCTAATTTACATTTCTTCTTTGCAGATAAAATTATTCGCGTAAACTTTACACGCGTAATAATCGTTAATATTTACGCAAATAAATATTATCAATTTATTTTACGCATACCTTCATGAATTCTTATGATTTCATAGCATGTAATTAAATATTATAAAATGTTGTTATTTTATATTAAAAAATAATTTCTACAAATAATAATAATTATATCATCTAAATCTTAAATTAATTTAAATAATTATTTATTAATTTTGGGCATACTTTCTAAATTCTATTGATTTCATAGCGTCTAATTAAAATAATTAAGATTTGCTATTTTATAGTATAAAATTATTTCAATAATAAGCATGTTTACGTCCATTCGATTCTCAAGGACGCAAATGCAAAAATGACTTAATTTAGATTTCGAAAGAATTTTTTTTGTTCGCCACTTCAGGACATTCCAAATACCATCAAATTCCCAAATATAAATTGTTGCTTTATTATTGTATGTTGTTAATATTATATTTTTTTTTGTAAAATTTAATACTTATCTTTATGGCGAACAAAAGATTTCGAAAGTCGTTTATTCGTCACACTAAATATGGTAAAACTAGAGTGTGTATATAAATATATAAATGTTCTTGTTTCTAAAAAAGTTGTCTTTAAATAAAGATATTTTTGCATAAGTGTTGTAATAAATATGACGAAAATTAGACTAATTTCCCGTAAGTAATGTAATTTAAATTTATTTGCATAAAGAATTATATAATAATTTTATGTAATTGGATAATTATGCAGGGAAAGACGCGCAGCGCTTGTGTTTAAATATAATTCAGACTTTACACGTAAGGTCATCCATAAGAATGCATGTAAAACAATTAAAATAACTTAAAGTAGTTGTCTTAATGTACATTGTTTGTATATAATGAAAATATTGTTGTCATTTCTTTAAATGTTTGTTGTTTTTTTGCTATAAATAATACAAATCAAAAAACAAATTATTAATTATTAATCCATTTAGATCATTAGCATATCAATTATAAAAATTGATGAAAAACATTAATAATTCTGGACATTCCATATTTCTATGTACGTATACACTCTTCTCAGAACAGGTTATTTTTTGTCAAATTATATCAATTATATTGGAATTCCATTTGTCGAAAATACAAAAACTCACCCTAGTATTAATGATAATGTTTATTGAAAAAGTAAAATTACAAAATAAAAAGCTCAATAAAATAATATAAGTATTATAAATCAAAAAAGTCAACTGCTTCAAAGTCCTGTGGTATTATTAATTAACTTTTGTTATTTTAACAAAGCATAACTATTTTTTAGAATATTTCTATAACAATTAAGTTTTGGAAAGGGAAGCACTACTTTTCAGAAAATTTGATACATCCGGAATACTATTAACTTAACGCTGAATATAGAGACTAACATTTCAAGTTGAATACAGAATAAAAACTTGTTCAAAAGTATTTGATTGACGAATTTGAATTGTTTATTGAATCTTACATAAAACGTTGATGTAAACAAATTGTATACTTTTACCCATTTGCCTAATTTACATTTTTCTAAAATACAAAAAGACACCCAAGTATTATTAATGAACTTTTGTTATTATAACAAAGCATAACTAATTTTTTAGAATATTTCTATAACAATTAAGTTTTCGAAAGGGAAGCTCTACTTTTCAGCAAATTTGATACATCCGGAATTGTATTAACATAACCCTGAATATGGAGACTAACAATGATTCTAACTATAAAAAAATGCGGTGATTATTTTAAACAATAATCATTATGATTTCATTCACAATTATCTCATCATTTTAGAGTTCAACAATATTTTAGAGTTCATGATCTTTTATAGCTTAAGGCATTCTTTTTTACTACTCTTTTCTTTAAATATGTATAATTAAATTTTGAATCAATGTATTTTTAGATGACAAAATTACTCCTTTAACATCACTAATTATATGTATAAATTACAAGTATACGTGCATTATGTTATTCCAAGTTTCGAACCATTTATCCGAAAATCTCTGACGGAATTTTGGGATTTCCGGTTTAGTAATAAAAGCTTAATATATCCTTGATATATAAAATTAACACGAAAAAAGAAATTTAATTTAAATGTTTCGAATTAATACGCTTCTAAAGTAATGAGATTAATTGCTATCATTCACACTTACAATTTAACAAATTTGCTTTTTATTAAAAAAAATGTAACAAATTTAGATTAGTCAGCTGCAAAAATAGAATGTTTTTGAAATAATAGTAAAAGTGCATTTGTGTTAAGTATACAAACAAATATATTTTTGTTGTTGAATTGTAATAAATAGGTTTTGGATTAAAAACACGAATATAATATAATTTATTGCTTTTTCTGGATTTTACATGTTCCAAGAATGTTTAAACTCAACAAAAAAGCGGTTTAACATGTACCTCAATTGTTGTTATATCAATGCAAATCGTACAAAAAATTTATTTACATATTTATTTTGTTTACGTATTTTAATCTATCATAACTTGAAAATATTGTTTTTTACCTTAATTTTATGATGAGTCTAATAATAAACAATAAATACGTTGCAATTTATAAGATATTGCACGTCATTGTTGTTAATTCAAACAATGAGAGCAGAAATGCCTCAGGCAATATATATTAGTATAATTATACTCAAAATGATATAGCTGCAATGCCAGGGCCTTGTACGCATTACCAATGAAACAATTAATTTATTTATAGTTTTTTCTAATATTTTAACGCATTTCTCATTGGATTCATTTTTTTATTCGCCTGATCATCATTGAAATATTTGACAAAATAATTGTTATTGAAATTGGCGCGCAATCACACCCAACTGACTCACCTATCGATGTTGCTGACTCATCTCAATCGGGATTTTTTTTTATTAAATGGTATTTGACCTCAAACCCAAAATGCATTCCATTTTGCTAATAATATAATAATTAATTTATAGCAATTTAATTTACTTTATTTTTTCTTATTATGTTATACAAACTTAACGTAATAAGAAAAATTATGTTTTTTTTGCAATAAATGATATTATTATAATGATTAACTTATGTAACAATTGTCTTAATATATGTTGTACTAAGTATTAAGTACACAAATTCTATCTTGTAATCAATAATGATTAGAAAAATAAAGAACATTATTAATTATGATCAAGTTCTTAAATAAATGATTAGAATCATTCAATTATTAGAATCATTAAATACAACAATAATCTAATTATATAATCTATATAAAATAATTATATAATTAATTTTAGCTTACTTATATGGAACAGTTATTATTATACTTTTTTAAATATACGAACAATATAAATTAAACGTTTCAAAATATCATTGAAATACAGTTGAACCTCGCATAATGAGCAAAATAAATTGTAAGAAAAATGACTCACAAAATAGAACGCATTATCGTATATTACATTAGTTTATGTCAGAAAAATTGTTTCACTATACGAGTAAAAATCCGGAAATTTTGGAACGGATTAAATTCGTTAAGCGAGGATCCACTGTAGAAATATATATAGAAATAATCTATTATTAAAGTTATTTTTCAGCAAATATAAGAAATTAATAATTACAAAAGTCTATTGACAGTAGATTTATCTGCCTAATTAATATAACATTTAATACCTAAACTAATTTTTATTTAAAGAAAACTTATACAGTGTAACCTCGCTTAACGAGCACCTCGCATAACGAGCATTTCGCTTAACGAACAAAATTAATTTTAAGAAAAATGACTCGCTTAATGAGCGACATTTCGCATAGCGAGTGACGATGAAAAAAGAAGTACCGGATTGCGCGCCTTCTGCATCATTTTTAAAACTTGTGTACACATAATATGTGTATTTTTGAATATGTTTCACTATACGAGTAAAAATCCAGAAATTTTAGTTCCACTGTATATATAAAATTGCTTTTGACCCTCTTCCTAATTCATATTGTGAAATAAATACAATTTAATTAATATTAACAACCCGGCGCATTCACAGATTTAAATTAATTTATGGATAATGATGTTTTTAATCTATTTTACTTAGTATATTATAAATTGTTAAACTTATTACTAACAACTAAACACCCTTTTACATATAATCACAATGAAAAAAATCTGTGTAATGTATTCATTTAATTGGCGAAAATTGATAATCAAGAGATTATTTTCTTACTTTTTGCATTTATTTCTAAATATTGCAATATTATATAATTACTTATTTGTATAATAATGATTCAATATTGTCTGCTAGTAAATATTAAGTCTATTGGAGATATATACTTATATATAAAAATTCCAATAATGTTACGAATTAAATGAAAATGTTAATAATTAATTTGTATATTTCAGAAAGATTTTTCTATATGTGTAAAATGTTTTGATAAAAATGGATACATAGATTTTCAGTGATTTTGTAAGAATGAATATGTAATAAGATACAAGATATAATTTTTTAATGATTTTTATTCAATTTTCGTAATTAGATACATTTTCAATTAATAATTTACAAATTTATACAAATAGCGTCTACGTTATATATGTCTGTGGTCTAGGTTCAGTTAAAATGCTAAATATCAGCAACTGGCAACATTTACAAAGTTCCATGAGCCCTTTGGTATTCAAGGGCCTTCTGGATAGCCACTGGAATTTGTGGAATGTGATCACCTTTAGGCAGGAAACCTTTCTCATCGGCAGTGTATTTTACAGTGTAAACGATATCATCTGGGCCGGTGTAGGTATAACATCCGTGGGCGCGCATACCTTCCTGATCAGTTCCAACGTTAGCTAATTGTCCTTGCTCTTCCGCGCGGATTCCGTTGTCAGTTTCGTAGCTAAAAAATAATTAATATATTAATATATGATATAATGCAATGTTGGTTGTATATGCAATGAGTAAAATACAGTAAATCGTCGATTTTTATCCAAGTAAAGTGAATGTACTGTTCCTCCGAGCGAGATTGGTATTTCAACGATGATTTAATTGCATCGAATGAGGCGTTTTAGGAATTGAAAATTAAATATTCATAACGAAAATATAACACTTACACGTAGTAATATCCGTCTTTATTCACGTTCTCGATTTTGCGCATGACGGCGCAGTTCGATTTATCGAAAAATCCGGCGGCTTTGCCCTTTGGGGATCCACTGCCGAACTTGGAGCCGGATCCAGAGGTTACGTCTTTACCGAAAGCACCGGAGCCGGAGGAAGAACCGGATGGGAATTTGTTTCCAGATACGGAGTTGAATCCGGGCTCAGATCCAGATCCGAAACCTCCAAATCCTCCTTGGTTGCCATTAGGTCCGAATCCTCCTCCGTTTCCACCGTTTCCACCGTTTGGTCCGAATTGATCAGCAGCGTGCTTGTATTTATCCTCGATGTGTTCGTATTTAACATCTTGATGGACGTATTGACCAGAGTTGTCCGGACGGTATTGTCCATTATCTCCGTTGTAAGCGCCAGAGTTATCGGGACGGTACTGTCCATTATTGTCTGACTTGTACCTTCCACCGTTATCATTCAGACGGTATTGTCCGGCAATTGGCCTGGAATAACGGAACTGTTTCTGGGCCACAGCCAATCCCAAAAGAGCGACGAATACAAGGATCTAAATAAAAAAAATAAATAATTATTGAATTTAATAAAAGAAACAATTTGTGTGTTCACTGACTGAGGTCTTCATGTTTGCACGGTGAGATGACAAATGCTATGATTCTGTGAGAGGAGTCCGAGTATATATATGGAAAGACAACAGCGATCCGATAAAACCGCCGTCGCTCTTCATTTTTTTTTTACATTATACACAAATATGTGTAACTCTTTTCATCTAAAATCCGGCTGATATTAATGCGTTGTTCTCCCAAAAGCGATTTTGCTTTGAAACCTTCAATTTGAAAGTCATAACGATGGGCAGTTATTTCGCAAACAAAATTTATTGCCCGCTTCGAACAACAATCGACTTAATATGAATCGTTCCAAACATATCAACAAAATTAACACACAAAAAAGAAAGAATTAAATTCCAAAAATGCATTTTTTTTTGCGGAATTTTCTAAATTGGTAACGCGTGACAACAACATAAACAAAATTATTATGTATCTAAAAATATTTGAATATAATATTTATTTAAAAAAAAATATAATAAAATTTCATATAAATTATTGAAGAACAATCACTTGTAGGTGTTTATTACGTGGGTATTATTACATTCAAAGGTCCAAACATTATTTGTGTCATTTACTCTTTTTTTTTTGTGTGTTTGTGTCAAAAATATCCCACGTTTTAAACTGTATCCAATTATCGATTTGCATAATTCAATTCTTTAAAAATTCTTCTAGAAAGAGATTCGCAGCAAAAGAATGCTGTTCACCTTTTTAATTAATCACTCTCGATAAAATAAATGTTATCATTATTGGCAGCGATCTCTTTTTATTGTTTATTTTAATCGTCCGATTTGCATAACCCATTTTTAGCATTGGAAATTTAATATCCGTGGAAGATTCTATAAAATATACATAAAATTATTTGTTATTTAATTGCGCTCAGACTTTGAACTATTCTTTTATTTGTAAGAAATTAAAGTACTTTCGATTTCGATTCAACTATATAAATATACTACATTCCTCGTAAACCGCATATAAAAATTAATGACAATAATTTGTTGCATAATACAAAAAAAAACACGATGGTAACAACAACAAATTATTTAACTAATTGCTTTATATTTCTCTTTTAATTAATCAGGTCAAAAAGTTTTGTATTGTTACTTAAAAGGCCACATTAATTAGTCATCTATCAACTATAATTATAATTTAATTAAATATTACTCATAATTAACAAAGAAAACACACTTAGTCTTGGCTATAATTCTAATAAAAGAAGACGAGTGGCGGATATATTTGCCCATTTCTTTATATAGAAAACCATGTATCCATCCACAGTGCTTCAAATTAAATAAAATATTATTCATAATTAATAAAAGAAATATGATTATATGGCTATAATTCTAATAAAAGAAGACGAGTAGAAAACCATGTATCCATCCACAATGCTTTAAATTAAATAAAATATTATTCATAATTAATAAAAGAAATATGATTATAATTACTTAATTAATTTGTATTTAATTTTTACATTTTTTGTAATAAATTACAAAAGATCTTTAAATTGTCACTTAATATAAAAACATACATAACGCGTCCAATTGGCCTTAAATATTACATACATAATATTATCAATAATTAATAATAAATAATACAATTACATTTTATTTCAGTTTTAAATTATTACTAATTAATTTATGTTTGTAGGTCAAAGAGATCAGTATTGTTCCTGAAATGTATTCAACGTCACCGGATTCCTTTTGGGCGTAAAAATAATTGAATCGTCAACGGAATTTATCCAATAGTTTTGCTATTTTATTAGGTCGTAAATAATGTTCTTGATTCGATTGATATTTAAAAAAAAACTAAAGGTTTTGAACGATTCTTCTAGATGTTGTGTAATATTTATCACCTTTTTATTCACCGTCAACGCCTTAAATTCTTAATGGTATATAGTTTACATTAATTATTCAAATTCGAAATTCAGAAGCAGATGTTATCTGATAATGCTGAATTATTTTGTTTATTTTTGTGTGTAATCCATTGTTTGTTTTTGTTGTTCAAACCGTATTATAGTAATTAATCCGGACAGATTGAAGCCGCACTATGCGAGGTATTGATGTAATTTTATATTAAACATAAAGGTACATTTTTCACAAATTATGTAAAAATAAACTTGTTTCATATCACTATTGATTAAAAATGTAAAAGATAAAAATAGTTGTTTAAGTTTTTAATACAAATGTATATGGTTTAGATTTGGCTATAATTATATAATAATTATTAATTAACTTAATATAATGCTTTTCAAATTAATTCTTTAAAAAAAATAAAACTTTTGACACATCATTAACAATTTAGTAACAATTGTTATGCTAATAAGTGGAACAAAACTACTTTCAATTTCGATTAAAACAAATAATTAAAGATTTATGTTTTAATAATGTATGCAATTAAAAAGAGTTATTGCGAATAACTAATTATCATAATTAATTCAATAACAAAAAATAATCATTACAAAGATTAATAATTTGTAAAAACATCTTACATTCAAGTTTACTGGAATGCAGTTCTTTAAAATATTCTACTTTTATATAATAATTATTTTTATTGGGTATTTTCTCATTTTTTTTAATTTTATTGATTACATATCATCATTACCATATAAATTAAGTTTAAATAATTAATAAAATTATTTAATAAAACAATTTATTTGAAATTATTCAGTGTGTTATAATTATATGTAATTTTATAGTAAATTTATATTAAATACAGTAAATGTATTAAATAATAATCTAGTTAACATCAACCTTTAGTGTGACTGTAGCATGAGCGAGATCTTTTTATTTATATAGTGCAAAAGATTGGTGAGTGGTAGGGAATTGGTGTATAAAAGAGTATAAGAGCCAGGATTTCTCATTCCATTGGAAACATAACATATCTGGAAGATGTGAGTGAATGCAGTGATTACCTAAGTGAGGTTTAAATTAAGTTAACGAATGTTAATTAGAATTTATAACAATAAACAGATTAATGGACTGATGCATATAATTAATTAATTTTAAAGTTATTTTTATTTTAATAAATGAGGAGTGTTAAGTGGTTCAATATATTTTTTTTTGTAAAGACTTTTTGTATAGATTTGAAAGAATTTTGCAATTTTAAAGAAGTGAACTGTAGTTATTTACGAAACATCAACTTCAGGTATGAATGGATCATAAAGTCAATAAATTTATCAGAAAAAATAAATAAATTAGACAAATATATGCTTATAACTAACTGAGAGTTAAAACTGATCTATTTTTTGTTTAATTCACAAGTTCACGTCGAAATAATATATAAATCTAATTAAAATGAATTTATATATAATTATTCATATAAATTTCATAAAAGGTTTTTTGTAAGAATATTTTTTTTATCTATTTTGATTGCTATATGTACTGCAATACCTCGAATAGTGCGGATAATTAGTTCTTAACTGTGAAACCGAACTAATCAAGGAATTTAAAACATTTTTACTTTTTTGTAAGAATAAAGATTTTATCAATTTTGTTTGCAATGTATAGAGCAATACCTCGATTAGTGCGGATAATTAGTTCTTAACTGTGAAACCGAACTAATCAAGGAATTTAAAACTTTTTTACTTTTTTGTAAGAACAAAGATTTTATCTATTTTGTTTGCAATGTATACAGCAATACCTCGAATAGTGCGGATAATTAGTTCTTAACTGTGAAACCGTACTAATAAAGGAATTTAAAACTCTATAGAGTCGAGTATAAGGGGAAAAAAATTATGTTTATGAAAATAATCTTGTGTAACAATTTTTTTAGAATTTAGTTTCTTTGAAATTTTTTATAGTAATTCCGAACAGATCGAAGTCGTGCTATTCGAGGTATTGTTATATTTCATAAATTTTGTCTGTAATTATTTGTTCTTGTGTAATTATTAAAAGAAAAATCATTACAAAAATTTACTAAATATCGTATATCAATTTTGAAAAAAAATAAAAAGATTAATTAATTCAAATTATTATTAGTAGAACTAATTAAATAATATAAATAGGACAGAAAAACGTAGGTCAATAACCATTTAGATTAAATTGGGGCAAATAAAATGGGATAAGAGAAAATACTAGTATGTGAATATAAATTTGATACAAAATATAGTGCATTGGTATTATTCACAAACCTTGTTCTTCTTTGTTGGATAACTTAAAACATCAGCAAAAAAAATGAATTAACTGACGTATTCTAGAAATGTTAGAAAGTCTCAAATTTTTGTGAAATTTCGAATTGGCAATTTTTGACCTGACCTGACGAACCATGATCTAGACGTCCTTAGAAAAATGATTTTTTTTTAAACAATAATCTTGAAATCAAAATTTGCAAAATATCATTGATTCTTCGTATGAGCGAGTCCAGTCATATTTAATAGAAAATATTATTTCAAGAAACAACAAACATATATTTAAATAAATTATCAAATTTCATAATTATTATAGTTTAGAATAAATAATTTTCATGAATTTCATTTGAAAAATTAAAATAATTAACTGAATTTAATAAATATTAATAATGCTTTTGAACGTCATATTTACGATTTGTTTATTTTATTTATATATTAACCTACTTTATGGTTCGATCTGACGTAATAATGAGTAATAATGCAAATTCATCACGTTTTTTTTAATATATAATTGTAATAACGTACATTCTATTTTTTTCTTTATTATTTCGTTATCCAATTATCAAACAAGATTAACGTTTAATGATCACAAATCTAGTAAAATTTGAGGATGATTCATGCTTTACAAAAATAGACATTTCATACTAACGTATGAATTAAATATGCGCAAACGGATAATCATGAATATATTGAATAATTTTTGAAGTATTGTAACTCAATCTTAAATTATTACTAATGAGTGGGCGGAATGACTGCGGTCAATATCCCTTTGTATATATGTATAAAATGAAAGTTACTTTATAAATACAACTTATTTATTGGACCGCATAAGCATAGAACATACATAAAATAATTAAAATATAAAATATGAAGTGTGTAAAAAATATAAAAATAACAGAACATAATAAGATAAAATATAATAAAGATATATGGAATGAAAAAGAATAATATGAAAAATAAAATAATTAATACAGATAGTAATGATGAAATAGAGGATAAATAAATAAATAAAATAGCACATAATAATTACATCACTTGTCATAATGTAATGCTATCGGTTTATTGGCGCCTGTATTGCACGTGGTGATCAAGTTTCTCAAGGCGTTTGGCTTCCCAACCAAACGCACACCACCATTCGGCGCCTTCTTCTGCGATTTCGATGACATCTTCATCTCTCTGTGGCCATGGTAGGCCTTGTAGAGTCATTCGCCTCTCTGCGCTTCTCCAGGTGGTGTGCAAAGAGCAGCGGAACCTGCAATGCTGGACTGTGTCCTCTTCTTCGCCACAGACATAATCCGATGTCTCTGTTTGTTTGAATCGCTTTCGGTAGTGTCCGAATTTGCCATGCCCCGTGATCAGTTGTACCGCCTAGTGCGGTAGCTCGACCTTCTTCCTCTGCTATTCCGCGATGGACGGGATAAATTATCTGGTCCAGACACCAGTCTCAGACCTGCACTTTATAAATACAGCAATAACTCATATAGTCTCCCAATTTACCGAATAATTTGAATTCTGACTAATTGAGTAAATACATACATAAAATGTTGCTATAAATTATATATGAGTAGAATCAGAAAATCACTGTTGCGTACATTTATTATTTCAGCATTTGAAATACCTAACAGTATTGGAACAAAATTTCTAATTTATATATTTATAACATTTACTTTTATATTTTACAAATAGATCAAGTTTTATTGCATAAACACGCCTCACCTTGTTTGTGAATTTAAAGCAGCTAATAATTTATATATAATAGTTAACTAGAGCAAAACTAGTTCAGTTTCTCTCGTGCCTTCGAATAGTGAGTGTAAATTTTCGCGTTCGTTTTAGTTTATATGAAATGTATAGTGTTTACTGTGTAAAAGTGTGATCATTGAACCGAAGACGCAAAGGATATTCATCGGAAAATCCCGTTATTCAAATTATTTCGTAAAATGCAACTATGATTCACACCTTATCGAATTCAATTTCAACGCTTAATATTTATCGGAATTTTATTATAATTCACATTTAGTAATACGATCCTATGACCCCTTTAGAATTAATGACATATTACACCTAGATGAAGAATAGTTCTTAGTAGCGATAGATATCATAGACTCATGATCGTTGAAACCAATATGTATAATAAACCTATTAATAATGGCTGAGTCGGATGAATTCTCTTTCGTGGCATATGTAATAAATCACTAATATTTTGAATTGGATTAACTCCTTATATGAAATATGAAGATTATTTAATAAACAGACAGAATGGTTATTAGTTAAATTAATTAAAAAAATAGCGGTTCATTATAAAATCATCAAATTTGTAATTTAATGTATTGATTTGTGAAGTTATTATTTAATTAGTTAATGTATATGAGATTCGTTTATAATTTGTTTATAATTTGCTAGACTTTAGTTGTTTTAGAAACAACGCAACAAAATTTTATTTTTATTGAGATTCGAACTTGTCACTAGTCGTATCAGATTTTAAATTTCATCACTTTACCTTTTTTGCTAAATTTGAAATAAAAATATCAAGCAGTTTCCTCATTGTTAACAAAAAATATGGGCTTATATTATTTCAGAAATTTTAAAATGATATCAAAAATTTAAATCATGTAAAAAAATGTTTAATAAATTTTGAAAAAGTTTTGGTTATAAATCTAAATTCTTTTATTCATTTATACATTAACTTAAAATTATACAACATAATTTTGAAACATTTATGAATAAAATTATGAAAAAGATAGAACAAATTTTGCTATTATATTATTGAATAATTTTTGGAAACTATATTAAGTTAAATTATAATTATAACAAAGTTAATCGTTGTTCATATTAAATTGTAATAGAATAAATTTCATCAACAAGGCTTTTTATATTGCTATTTAATTTTTTTGAAAATTAAGATTTCTTTATTCCATTATATGTGTGCTATAGCCCTTAGCATGTCTACACTAAATTCATGAATTCTTAATTAAATAGTAAAAAAAAATGAGAAAAATTAGGAAAGGACAACAGAATAATTGTAAATTGAAAAAAACACTTTATTTTGAATTTACGTTAATAATATGCATTTTATTAATAATAGTAATAAAAAGGTGGGACAAAATAAGAAAGAAAGTGGATTTCGAGAAGGTCATCATATATTTTATATATATTAGCAAACTATCACATAACTTAATATTGAGCTGTAAAGTTCAATTTATAATTTAAATAGCATCTTGTCAGACAAATGTTGCTGACTATTATTAATTTACAAAGTGCCATGGGCCCTTTGGTATTCCAAAGCCCTGACGATGAGTTCTGGGACTGGTGGAGGAGTTGGCAAATGTTGGGCTTCTGGGAGGAAACCGTTCTCATCAGCGGTGTATTTGACAGTGTAAACTACAGCATCTGGGCCGGTGTAGGTGTAGAATCCATGGGCGCGCATACCTTCAGCATCGGTTCCAACATTGGCCAATTTGCCTTGTTCTTCGGCGAGGATACCATTTTCGGTTTCGTACCTAAACAATAGTTAATTGATTAATATATGATTTAGAATTGAGTGATGATTTGCAACTTACAAGTAATGGTAACCATCTACATCGACTTTCTTGTTGTCACGGATGATGGCGTAGTTTCTGTTCTCATATTTACCAGCGGCGGATCCGTGGATGGCGTTACCGTGTCCACCGTTAACAAAGTGTCCTCCTTGGTTACCAGATTGTCCTTGGTTTCCTCCGTGTTGTCCTCCGTGTTGTCCACCGTGTTGTCCACC